AACAGTCCTATTAGATTTTTTAATTGGTAAAATTGTTTCCCAACTGCTTTGTCCGAGATTCAAAAAATTCAATTTGAAATATATCTTATAAAACTCTTTCACTGTTTCACTGTTTGGGATAATATTTTTAGTACAATATCCGGGCTTATACACTGCACTGCACTGTAATATATATAAACAAAAACCTATATTTTTCAGGAGAGCTTCCATGTAAAATTAAAGCAGCATCCCCCGCTTTAAGTCTTCTGGACCTTTTTGGTCATCTGTGTGAAGAAACCGCACAATGTGTTTGGCATCATTAGAAAAATATTAAATTTCCTCTTCCTAAGTCCAGATCGTCCTGGCAAAAGGACATGGCTGGCGCAGGGCTTTAATTGCTGTGAATGCGAATACTTAAAAGTTGTTGCCTTTTATGCGGTTGCCGTCAAAGCGAAACTCAATTAAGCTGCAGTCACCACCCCATGTAAACTCACTCCACCCCGGAATCACCCCTGATTTAAAACTGCTGATACGGCAGTTGACGACGGCGACAAGGACATCAATGAGGAGGCTTTGTCATGGTTGCCCAGCCAGCCACCGAATGCCTTTTCAAAGGCATTTTTAATTGAAATTATCCGATGCTACCTTTTCAGCTTCGCCCCGCGAATTCTCATCTGAAATTTGCGTTTTTCTGCTTTGTTACCTTGCAGTCGGATTGATTGACATGTGAGTCGTCCTGCTCCTTCGAAACTTTCCTTCTGTCTCAGCTTGTTTACATCTTATGCGCTAATAGCGGACCTAAGTCGCCGAACGATACGCCATAAATCCATGTTAATAACGCCGTCGTAAAAGGGGATGCTGTCTCAATTCGCAGGGACATAAGCACACAGAAAAAAATAAATATATAATAGGATCGATTAATGATTTTAAAAAACCTAGATCATAAAATATTATAAGACGTTTAAAGCCCAAAGCAGACAAATATTTATATATTTATCTTAAAACATACTAGTTTCCTAAACCTGCAATTTTATTTTGGATTTAACAAGAAATAATATTAAATTGCTAACTTTTCTTCTGTGTAAGATGCTGTAGTGGCCGAACGGGGGAGATTTCAAACTCAAAGACAGTTAAGTAGATTAAGCGACTTTCATGTTGTGTCCTCAGTCTTTGGGACATCAACCCAAATGAATGACGACAGTGAAACAATTCACGAGGCACGCCCGGTGGCAAAGGACTTGAGCACGGCGAACGGCAGGATATAAAATCCGCAATATGCCTTGCCAAATGCCACTCGAAATATGCAAATATAGTCCTTGTGCGTGGGCGTGGCAGAAGGGGCGTTGCAACGGAAGCAGCATCAGCAGCAAACAATAAAAGTAAATGCCAAAACATTTTATTGATTATCAGGCGAAAGGGAAGCTTAGACAGTGGGTAAGGTTTACTTTTTCTTGAAGTAAAAAGTTGGAGAAATATTTTAAAACTTCAGATAAGTAAAATGTAATTTATTGAAAACATAGAAAATTGATTGGTACCAAGTTCTTTTAAATGTAGTACCTAAAAATAAATAAATATCTCATAACTTATTATTTGAATTTGCTTAGTTTTTATATCACTAAGAAGAATCGTCTTTAAATAAATTGTTAGTCAATAACATTGTTGCAACATTATTTATGAATATGACCTACTAAATGAAATAAATATTACATTTTTCTGGCTTTACTCAGTTATTTATTTAGTGTATAACTTTAAAACTACTAATGTTTTTACTCACAAAACCAGTCTTTATCCCACTGTACTTGGTTCTTCAACTGCCATTAGACGGCGCCGGCGAGTGTGCTACACTTTTTTGCAGTTGTCTGACGACAACGCGAACTGGAGAGTCCTGGAGTCCGTGCCTGAAAACCGGAGTGCGGACCTGAATTTTGGTGTGGGTAAGAGCATTGAGCATTTTAATAACCGCAGTGTAGACGCGGGTAACTCGACTCGTAGAACGGGGAACGATGGGCGGCCATAAATTATGCCACCCACCGACTGAAAAAAGGCGAAGACATTGACAGTCGTCCTTCGTTGGCCGCCCGTCGAGCGATTTGTAATACACAACTCCCTTTCCGCCGATTGCGCTTTTGGGCTTGGCATCGCGTGGCATGGCCCAAAGGACCACAGGACCTCCTCTGGTTTTTCAATGCCTTGATAATTTTAAACTCTATCGTTAGATATAGAAATACAAGTAAGGGACATAGAGAGGCTTCGAAGTGGTCAGTGCGGCGTCATAATGCAATTGTATAATTTTCTTAAAAGCTCACTGTCGTCGACAATAAATGTAACAATAATACGCAACTCGAGTGCACTTAGAACCATTTGGAGAGATCACAAAAGGCATTACAGAAATTAAAAATGCCACCAAATGGGCAATGAACCCCGAAAACACACACACACATTTGGTCAACGAAAACAATCAGGCAAATGGTGTGAAACAGGGCATTTTAGCTAATTGAAATGAGTTCGCAAATAAAATGCTTGCCAAAAAATAAATAGAAATAAAAGTGCAAATCCTTGGCTGCCGGTTGGAGTCACGTTTCAGCCGGGGGTTTAGCCCAAAGCTCCTTGCCTTCCTCTCGCAGGACCACCTGTGGCTGCTCGCCAGGATCACGTCTCAGGTGCGAAATGAAGATTTATAAAATGGCAAATTGATTTAACGTGCCGAGTGTTTCTTAATTCCGACAAGTTGATAAAATTTTAATACCTCCCCTGGGGAGCACACAAGAGGAAAACCCAGCTTACCCCTCATATGATTTAATTTCACCCCCGAGTCCTGGTAATTGAGGGTTAAACTAGCGAGCTGTGGCTCATCAACAGGTAATTTTTGTGCCCGATTTTTATGACCACTTGCGGCTTGTTAGTTCAAATAAATAATGCATGAGACAGCTTTAAGCTAACAAGCTCTGCTCGATTTTCCCCATAAGTTTGTCCCACAAAAATCGAAATTTGAATACTTTGCCGCATCACGTTTTCCGACTTTTCTTCTCCCTTTTGTATTGCCAATTGCGCTGCGCATTTTTATTATTTTTTCTTTTTCGTCTTTATTGGTAATATAATACATTCAATTGTGTTTTTGGCTTTCCTTGTGCAAACAGAGCGCTGAAAAAATTCAATTAAATGTAATCGCATCTATTTCTTCTGCACCCGTGACTGATTGTTCTAAGGGAAAGAAGCGCGGAAGGAATTGAAATTAAAATTGAATAAATAGCCAAATAATCACGCTCTTTGAAAAGGAATGCTAATTCCGCGCTTTTCCTCAAGTTTCCACTTTCGTTTTTTATTTTTTACACCCATCTTGAGTGTGCTAAGGCACGTGCCAAGCGAAATCCTTTTAATGTGTCGCCAAAGTTGAGAAACTCGATATGGGAAGTTGTCAAACAATAAAAGAAATTTGCTGCCTAAGAATTTTATTTTTGTTCAGTCTGAATTTTGGTTCAACTTTGGCAGAGTAAAATCGCATTAGCAATTCATGAGCTATAAGTTTGACTTATTGAACAATAGTTTCGACTTCAGTAGAGTGAAAAAATCATGGGTGTATAAATATTTTCAGTTATTTATCTCTGATAAATATACAAGGATACCAAGAAACTACTAAGGTAAATATAAGAAAATAAAAAATATTTAAATAACATTAAATCGGTTCTTTAAAGTCAAAGTATTTAGTAATCCCAAATTTGAACTGGGTCTTATTTTTTGAAATAAATTAAATTATTAACAAAAATGTTAGTCAAACAAAAAAACCTTTTTAAAATAACATTAAAGGCATGCCTGCACATCGAGTTTGGTAGCTGGAAAACTTTTCAATTACCATCGGATTCAATTAATAATATTGTGCAGGTACTACCTAAATTTCTACTAACCAGATTAAATGGGGAAAAAACGTTTTCCATTTAGCAAGGACGCAATGAAATTCAATTAACCTCAAGTGGATGCCACAACAGCAGGATTCGCCATGATGAAGGCATAAAACAAAGGCCGAATCTGCGGTGGCATTCACACCTCATCAGCGTCAAGCTGAAGGATATTTCTAGATGGGGGAGAGAGCAAGGATACGCCAGAACATCCCCTTACTATTTGCCAGCGTTTAGCTTCAGACCATCCTATATTGCTACCCGGGGTTATCGATGCCATATTAAACTTTCACTGCCGCTGGCTTTCGATGAAAAGTGCTCAGAACTCGGTCTGATTAAGAGCTGAGCAAACAAATCACGAACCAGCCGACTTGTTTGCTTAGCCAGTGTCTAAACATCGCTCTCGACTGTTTTTTAAACTGTTTGCCAAGCGGTTCCGATTCGGGGAACAACCCCGTGTAATTAACATTTCAATTTTGCTCATCGGGCAAATGTATCTCTTGTGCTTCAATGCGTTCCGTCCTTCGGTAAATAAATTGTGTTTCAGGGCAATTGTTGCTGCTCTTTCGTGTTGACATATGCAAATTCTTAACACCGCCCACCACAATTCACAAAACTTTTTTGATTACTTTTAAGCATCTGGGAAGGGGCACGAAATGGACCTGGTTATTTGCCAACTTGATGGGCGCCTTTGTAGGCGGTTCAATCGCATCTATTGTTTGCTATTTGCTGGTTTGATTTTTCTCTAAGTTGAATCAATTTAGAGGTATAGTAAAAAATTAGAAATATTTTAAAAGAATTGTTTATGTAAGGTTTGTATAACTCGTAATATTAAGAAGTAAAGATATAAAAACCATTCTTAAGACAAATAATTAAAAATACAAAACATATACATCAATTTCTAATTATCGGAAACACTGTTAAAATAATCAGCAAAATATATCGGTTTTTATTTATTCAGTATCTTTGATAAAAAAGGTTCTTTCTCTAATTAGCCTTGAACACATATTAAAAATAGATTTTAAAAACCCATCAATCCCTAATAATACGATTCGGAACTATTTTTAAATGCCCAAATTTTATATGTATTGAATATATATTGAATGATACTCATTTTCAAGGGCTTACTTTAATTACAAGTAATTACTTTTATTTACTTAAAATCACAATTGTTTTCCAATAAAATACAAAACAATACCACAATAAAAACAATTGGCTAATCATAGGTTCTAAATCGATATGGATTGATATGATGTTGCTATGATATTCTTTAGGTTCATTGAGAGATATAATAGCAGGGAGTAGCGATAATTGCTCCTCCCACCGCTGGTATCCAGAAATTTAGATTTAAGGAATCCGTTGATATCGACTCCAAGCAACTGAGAGCTGGATTCTTGGGCTCCCACTTCCATATCCACATCTCCGCCAGTTCCGTCGGCATTGCAGCCACAGCGAACGAGGTCCTTGCCAAGGCATATCCTTGCTATGTCGAGGGGTGCTCCCCGTGTATTTTCCTCCTGTTTTCCTGTTTTTCCGGGCTTCGCTCCCTTCTCACGTCCGATTCCTGGGCGTCGATTGTGGTTTGTGTGTGGCGCCAGTGACTGGGCCGGGGTTTTTATAGCTGCCGCCAAAAAGGACGAAGCTTTCCTACCCCCCGGAAAATGGGAAACTTTCGTGTTGAGTTTCAGTTCGCCGACAGTGTTGAGTTTCCCCCACGCAAGTGGCAACAATTGTTGCCGCCTAATTGGGTGTATATAGATAGATGGTTCTGTGGCGTTTTAGGTAAAAAGAAGTGGGTGTCTATATACAGAATGCTGTGGGTGTGTGTCTGGGTGTGTGTGTGTATGACCTTATGCACACAAGGACACCGGAGCAAAAGGAGGAGCCTGCTCCTGCTGGCATCGCAATGGCCGCCATTCGAAAATTTCGCTGAGCTTCGCATAAAATTAAATGTTATTTAAATTATGCCCGCTCCTTTGGACTAATCCTTTCATGCCTGCGCGTAAGTGATTAAAGCCATTAACGAAATTATCGGGGATTATAAAGATTTGTTCGGGACTTCGCAGCGGGGCGTCTCTGCTGAAAGACAATGCCATTTCCCGTAATCCAGGAGCTTCAATTAATAGAGTGTCGACGTCGCCCACTCGCAAAAAAGGGTTGCAGCCCCGCCCACCGGCGAAATGATGGTAGTAGCAATTGGAAAGGGGTTGATTTCAGATTTGTTTTTTCACCAAATGGCTTCATCTATTTTTGAACATTGCATTTCCACGGCGATTCCCGCCTGCTGACGTCAATGGACCATAGCCTTTTCTACCAAAGTTTTCAGCCCCCTCAATTTTATGAGCTTTTTTCGTTTGTCCTTTTTTTATAGTTTGCCTCAATTGCAGCTTTTTTATTATTTGATATGTCTGACTACCACAGTTAAGGATAAAAATATGAATCAAATCAATACTCGATAATAAAACGATAGTGTCAAAAATCCACAGAAAATCAAGTAATTCTGTGAAAAAGAACTACCGCACACGATGAGGATTCAATAATTAAGACAAATAACACACTAAGAGTAGAGTAAGTGAAAGTGGATAGATCTATTTATCAAAATTAATAGGTAATGTAGGATGTAATATCAGACAAACTAATAGTCAGATAAATAGATTCAAGTAACTGTGGAGTAACAATTCATTTAGTATAGGGAAATAAAAATTATGCACATATAATTTTTGAAACTTCTTAAAACTGATTTATAATGAAGGATATTGAAGCTACGGAAACAGGTATTAAAACTAGGAAATGAAAAAGAAAAAACTCAAGCAGAGACATTCAGGTTGGAAAAACAGAAACTATGGAAGAATCTAAGCCCAGCTCTAATGAAATAATTCTAACCAAACAAACAAATACTTTACCAGATTCAACTTCAACAGAAGATGAAACAACTAAATCCGAAATTGTGAAAAATAAAAAAGAAATGGACGCAATTAAACTCGAATCCGATCCTTTAAATAACCAACTTTAACTTTACCCGAAAAAAATTCAACTCAATCAATGGAGGAATCTGAACTTCAAGAAGATTCTCATATCTATGAATCTTGCCTCAATAAAGAAACTGAATTTAAAGAGGTAAACCTAGAGAACTCTGAGATTTCCAAAACTACATGCCTTAAGAGCCCAATAAGCTCCGATTCATTTGATTCAGAACTTAATTCTGATTTAAGTGGAGAACTATTGAACAATGAGATATTAATTAGGAAGAAAAAGAAAACTAATTTAGTGAAACCCGAGAATATTGAAGATCCGGAGGAAACGTTTAGAATACATTTTCTTAAGACATTTCAAGGAATGCCAAGAATATCTCAGATCTCTTTAGACGATCATCCCAAGGATGCTTTAAAAAACGAGGAAGGAAAACGAATTGTAGAATCGCAATTACCAACTGTTTCTAACATAGATTTACAACATTCAAAAGAAAATAATAGCCCTATTCATTCTACAACACTACGAGTTGAAGATTTATCAAAAAATCGAAAAAATAGCAACACAGCTATAAATTACGATCGAAATAATGATACCGATGATCACAAAAGCACAAGTCAAACAACCATACTACATAACGAAGATATTTTAGAAGCAGACAAAATTGATGAAATGCCTTCCACTTCAAATAAAAAAGATACTTAGGAAAACATAAAATGTTAAAAAACGACTAGTCTTATATAATAATTTATTCAATAAATAAATAGAAAACTCTCTTATGTTTTAGAAAATATTGTAAGAAAAGCCACTTACAGAATTTATAGTCTAGATATTTTTAACAATGCCTATGTTAGGTAAGTTCTAATAAATCTGGATATGTTCTTTGAAATCAGATTGCTGATTTTAACATTTCAACATGCTGACTGCCATTCCTACCCTGAGTTTGTTCGTCTCCCAAGCAACCGACTCCCAAAAAAAATTACGGGCAACTTCATGACGCTAAATTAACTAGCAGACATTTCTATTAGCTCTTCGGAATGAATGCCAAGGCAATTTACGCTTAATATATGCATGATGCTGTCCGCCCGATAACACTCGAAGAATGCCATGAGTTTTGGGTGGTGGAAGGTTAATGGTTGGGTGGGTGATGTCCTTTCCAGGTTGTTGGGACAACGCCACCGCCCTTGTTGCTATCTATCATTATCTATGTGCGGCACGTGGAAAAGTTTCGTTCGCTTAACTTTGCCATTCGGCTCTAAATGAATTTAATGACTTGGAAATGGCCACCAACCGATTTTGAATTTTAATTTCACAGCAAATTCTTTGATGCGTGCAGGAAATAAATATTTAATATGGTAAATCATTCTGTCCGGAATTGGCAACATTTTATTTTCTTAAAATAAAGATTTGGTTAAAAAACTAATCAAAAAACTAATAAAAAACTAGAATCTGTCTTAGCAAAATAAGGACTTGTTGTAAATCTGAAATTTAAAAAAAAAATGTTCTTTTTAAAAATAAACTCACTTTTCTAATGGTTTTTTCCGTTGCATAGCTTTATCTAATGGAATTTGAAAAATTGCTTTCCCGAATCAAAGCTAGCAATCAAATCAAAATGTGATATCAAAATAATCGGCTAAAATCAATCGAATCCCTTGGGAGGGTAATTTGTATACTGGTACACTCATCCCAGGGAAAATCGGAAAGGTATTCCTATCTTTCAGATACATTTTCTTCCGCAAGTGCAACAGCCCAAAGCAGGAGATGCTGGGCAAAACAATTGTCGTCTGAGGGAACTCCCAAAGTACCTTTTCACACATGAGCGCGCCAGGCGCAGGATAAAAAAAAAAACACAGCCAGGATGGCAGACGTTGATGAGGGGTTGAGATATAGAACCCTAGTCCTCCCCCCGATTTCTGTTGTTGTAAATCACAAAGTGAAACCGAAACCGTTAACGTGTTGCGGTTACGCTGCTGACTTTGCTGTGTGGTAAAAAAAAAAGAGAAGAACTGAGGCAAGTCATTCCATTTGTGAGGAGGCTTTATTAAATGCGAACTGAGCTGGGGCAATGTCCTGTCTCGGCTTTTTATTGCGATTTTTTTCGCAATGTTTTCGGTCTTTGTGTGAGTTTATCAAACTCCTTACATTTGTTTTCCTGCAAAACGGGGGCAACTTCCCCAGGCAAACTTTTCTTATTTAATGATTGCTTTTAGAGAGTGCCGATTCGATGGGGGAAACCTAGAGCCGGTTTCGTATTTCCGCTTGAGAAATGTGAAATTGTTCCAGTTTCTTATTTTTTCTGGCCTCGCAAAGATTTGTCAAATCTTTGACACAATGATGCATAACGTTATCTGAGATTTGCCGAGTGAAAAAAATAACAACAAGCGACTTAGCGAATTAATCTTCTTAATGTTTGGGACTTATAGCCATGGGCACTAAGTAGAATACTTAGACCTCGGAATCACTTAATGCGATTGCCCAAAAACGGGTGTTTCTGGGGTGGACTATCAAGAATATTTGCTAATTGCTGCACTCGTTGAGAATGCAACTAGGCAAGGGGTATCCACGGAAGAACCAAGTGCACTTTGCAAGCCCATAATCATATCAGCTTCCGCACGATTTAACAGCAACGCAATTTTGATGGGACCCAGACCAGACCGAAAACGTCAGCATGGCAACCGATTGTCTGTCTATCTCTCACTGGGTTTTTACACTTCAAAAAAAAAGGTTTTAAATACTAAAGTAGTAAAATACTTTCATGTTTAACAATTATTGGAGAAACTCCTAAAAAATAAAATTAAATTCTCACTAGCTCACTAATATAAAAGACTATCGCATAGGACTAGTCTACTAATCTATTTGAAAATTTATGATCAAATTAAAATTGGGTTATTTGCATACATGGTCTTAAAACAACATTTTCTTATAAAACCATGTAAACAATATGTTTTATTTAATATTTGTTTAATTCATACATACCAAACACTATTATTTTCTTTTTAAAAAACCATTCTGAAATATGTATAAATATAGTAGAAATCTTTTCCAAGTAAGTTCTTTTCGTTCTGTATTCTGTGTTCCAGTTGGTTTTGTTCAACACTTTTTTTGGCTTCGCAATTGATTGCTCCACAATTGCGCAATTTCGCTCACTAAAAGCATTTCGAAAATTCTGCACAATGTGCTGGGGAGTGGGGCTTCTTTGCCTGCTGCCATGACGCATAAGCTCCGATAAAAACTGTTGTTCGATAAGCATTTTGTTTGCCCTGTGTCGGGAGTTGTTATGGAGTCTGTACCCCAGCCCAAGTCATGAACTCCTGTGGTAATTCTGGGGGGCTGTGGTTCAGGACCCAAGGACGAGAAACGCTTGAGGAAGCCATAATGAATAAGCATTTGATGAAGAACTTTGCAAAGTTCTTTGGAAATGTTTGCAATTGTAAGAAAATGCTTGCTGCCATTGGCTTCTGCTTGCTGCTAAAGGAACTAAACTATAATATTTTAAATTACACTCAAACATTTTAATTTTTACTAAGAATGAAGAAAAATAGTGGTTACAAGTTAGCCACAACAAATATGTAATAACATTTTGAAGCCATAGTTGTCTTTTACAGGAACATTGCCAAAACGTTCACCAACTAATATAAATATTAGTTTTTCATGTTTTTAAATTGGCTTAGACTTCAGATAACTTATTAAAGAAAAAAGATTTTCTAGCATATACTGATTTTAGCATAACCTGATTTAAAGGAGCCCTGAGATATCCTGCATAATAGGTGCCCTAAGCACTATGCTATGGTTTATGTATTGCGAATTCTCACTACCATTTGCCTGAATGTCCTGCGGCTTAGTCACCACACTCCCACACATGGGCATATACACATGATATTCATTATGAACGGCTTAAGCGATTTCCCCAGGGCCCAGAGGCTTAGTCCTACACGCAGACACACATCGGGAAACTCATGCATATGCACAGATATATTTGGGTTTTTATTTATTTCTTTTTTATGAAAGCCCCCTTGAATGGAATCCGATTTGACGAGCAGTCGAAAAAGGGAACCCGTCAGCAAATTGGCAGCTGAAAAAAATGCGAAAAGCAGGAAAACCAATTCTCAACCTGATTGTTGGCCACATCAATCAGGGGAAGCAACGCCGTGTCATGTTTTACATGCAGGGAAAAACATGAAAATAATAATTAACGCTCATAATTTTCCTCTCCCCAAAATGGACAACAATTCGCTGACTTTGCTAATGAAAATAATCTGTCATCAAAGCCAAAAAGCCACCCCCAGTGGGAACAGGTGCCTGCTCCTTCCCCTCCTTTTTTCCATTATCCTGTTGCTGTTTTCCGGACACGCCTCCTGAAATACTATATGATTGCATTTGGTTCCCAGCTATTAACTCAACATAAAGTGCGGGCGTGGGGGAAGAAGGGTTGAAAGGTTGCCGGACGGAAATTGCATTTGTGCTAACCAAATCAGATAAGTTCCACCGACGACGTCCTCGTCCTTGGCCAGGATATGACATTAAAAGCGCATCAAAGTCGAATTCCGAACAGAGGCTACGCAGCAGCAGCGGAAACTGTTGCCGTAATGGGGAATGGAAAAAATCAAGAATAATATAATTTACCATGGCGAATTGCTAATACACTTTCGCTACTAAAATAACTTTAAATAAAATAAAGCTAAGATATTGGGGAACAATTTAAATTATTTCAGTATTCATTTTTTCATCACATCAAAATAAAAAAAAAAACTATTTTATTTTAAAGGAACAGGATAGCAAAAACACACTTTCATACACTTACCTCATCCAGTCAGGAAATCATTGCTGGTCATTTGCGCGGTCCCTTAACCCTGACTGCTTGTGAGCTTAGCCTCCCCCGCAGGCTCATCTTTGATTTGGTCTTTGTTTGGGCCGTTAAATTAAATATCCTAGCCCAGTCGCTCGACCTTTTGACTGCGAGTGTGGTCATCTTCGCTGCCCAGGGACAATGACAGCAATTCCAGTCATTTCCTTAATAGAAATCTTATCTTTTGTGACGCCTTCGTCGTGCGCCTAAGCCGGATATCGCACCTTTGACATCTGCCCTTGGCTCCTGACAAAGCAACTCCATGCTGAACATTCACAGAACACTTACTTCCGGTCGGGCTTTTTGGAAAAAAACTTTCAGAAAAATTGAGTGTTTATTTTTATTAACATTTAAAGACGAAAAACCATGAGCTGCTGTTGTGGAACTCAGACGACGGGCTGTTGCGAGTGTCCACCTGGGATAAGGCTGGAGAAGACGAAACAGGCGCCCTTCTTCGACATGCTGGGTCCGTATCCAGATGAGGTAATCATGACCATCCTGGATCGCATTCTCTACCTCTCGGGGGCCACCAGAATAATTCCCATGCTGGATGTAGCGGGATTGAGTTAGTTATGGCCTAAGCTTAAAGGGTTGTTAATAAAGAAAAAACATTTTAGGTTCAACTCTCAAAAAGGAATCCTGCCCTCCGCCGTCCACCTGCGCAACAAGTCTCAGCACAACGACATGTCCTTCGTCGTCGGCCTGGAGAACGTGCTGCTCCAAGCCGTCGAGTAGTTGTTGCACCAAGCCACCGAGCAGCTGCGGGAGCATCGGAAGGCAAAAGTTTCCCTCAGTGCCCTGCAGTGCAAAGTCATCCTGCATCAAGACCTCGAGTCGCCTAAGTGCCGCCGCCTGTTGCCCCCGACAGCGTACTCCCAGGGTGGACTTCGATCATCCCGCTGAGAATATCCCGATGCGAAGGACGGCGGGCAGCGCCACCATTAAAGAGCAAATGGACCGATCCATTTCCAAGAACTCGGTGGCCTGTCAGCATCTGAAAACGAAACTTAAGTCCGAGGTATCTCCGGGACGAGAGGAACAAAAGTGGTTGTGGACTCGTTTGGTTCCTGGCAATGATGGCTGCATGGTGTACGAGGTCTACAAGGACTCGGATGCGGACAACTCCCCCTCCAGGATCGGAAAGGAGACACCTATCATTCTCTTCCTGGTCATGCCGAACGGTTACATAATGCCTTTTGAATCGATTTGCAATCCTTAAGGCGGAGGCACTTTGTATCCTCTCTTAATTGCGTGGCCATGTAATTATTATTACAAATAAACTTAAATGATTTTTACTTAACGAATTTGTTGTCAAATCTTTTTTTAATACAAACATTTATCACACTTTTTTTTGTTGGAATATACAATTTAAGCTATCCGCACACTCTTTCTCATCATAATGAAAACTACTCCAGCACAAAAAAACATATATATACATAGTATAGCAACGGATTCCATATTATTCCGATGGCCCGGGTCCAAAGTCATATTGACCATTCCCGTGAGGAAGTTGGAGAGCATAAAGTGGGTCAGACCATTTATATTGAGGCTCTCTACAAAGGAGGGCAGGGATGGGCTCGTTTGCTCACTATCTCCCGCTGATTTCTTATTTTTTAAACCGGATTTTACAAGTTTCAGTTCAAAGAAATAAGCAAATATCAAAACTAAGCTTAGACAGACAGCCACAATCCAAATGACATAGCCGAAATTAAAGGTTACGCGAGCAATCCCAGTTAGGTATGCGCTTATAAAAACCATTATCCAGCAGTGGATAGCTACCAAAAGGATTACTCTCAACTTCCTGGTAAACTGCTGGTAACTGAGGGTATCTTGGGAGGTGTACCACCTGGCAAAGTAAATGCTGAGCAGGTAGAGGGCCACGCATCCGTGTAGGGAACTCAAACCCTCCCGATTGGCACTCAAAAATCCCTCGTGGGGAGCGGAGGACATCACAAACTCGCCAAGACCCGACTGGAGCACCAGCTCGTTAAGGAAAAGTAGACCTGAAAGCAAACCAAAATTAAATAATGAGTACATTTTGACCAACATTTGTGTGCAATTATTTTATCCAAGTAATAGCGAGAAGACAGCATTTTTAATTTATACGCAACGGCTTAATAATTGCTGATCAATGTGATTTAAGGCATAGATATATTTGTGTTGAAGATAAAAAATATAGACAATATGTTCTGGTATTTTAGAGACCCTCTTTTCTCATGCCATTAAATAATTATTCATATTACATACCCAATGAAAGTCCCAGAAGCTGTTTATCCGAATTCACCAACAGACTGTATAGGCTGCCCATCAGTTTGGTAAGGCCCAGAGTAAAGAAGGCGTTCAAGTGCTTGCCGTATTCGGACTCATCCTGGTGATAGTCGATCGCCGTGATGACGATGGTTCGTGCCAGGCCCAAAACAAGCAGAGGAACCACCGATCTCGGTAGTTTTCTCAGGTCAGCGCTGTTCCTGGTTCGATGTGAGACCAATCCCATGGTGACCACAAACAGACCGATGCCCATGTCCATCGCGGAGGCTCCGAAAGACCGGCTCTTTCGATAGTCAGTGGGATAGGATGGGAAATCCACAGCTAGGATGGCGGCGCAGGTTCCACTGTAGGCGGTGGCCCGCAGTAGGGTGAAGACGATGGGTCGTTTTCCGATCTCATATTTGTGGTTCAATGGATTAGGAGCAACATTTCCATAAATATAGCCCACGATAGCTATGGAAACCACCAGGGAATACGTATAAGTATAGGCACTGCCAACTGTGACCAAAATCACTGTGGGTAAACCAATCAGAAGAAACTCCAGCAGGAATCTCCGTGTGGATTTCAGCGGCAGGTGTCCACAAAGGAGGCGGGAAAGGATGAATCCCAAGACTGTGGGAATTGTCACCAAAAAGCTATCCAAACTTTCCTTCACAGATCTCCAGGAATGCAAGTCCAGCTCGTTTAATTCATAGGTTACAGAGTTGCTAATCTCGGCCTCCATATTGCATGTTGCTCTCGAATTAAGAAGTATTTTAAGTAAGGAATTATTAAAAATCTTATACGCCGGCTGCTAAAAAATAAGAAATGTAAACAATAACATTTGAGACAGTAATGACACTTTATCGATAACATTGCCCAATTCGCAGCAACCAGTTTTTGATAGTGAGCAGATAAGAAACTCGAAAATTCGGTCACACTTTGCTAAATTCAAATTTTATTTTTAATAAATAAAAACTTAACAAATAATTGCAATATTTCAAGTTAATTTTTGACTGAATTTCAGGAAGGGAAACTTAAATAATATTAATTTATTTTGGGTCAGGCAAATAGGCAAAATAAATGCGTTAAATCACAATTGTCGCAATCTACAGCTCGCTGTGCAGCGATTTGGATGGATTTTCTGATGAATCCTGAGGGAATTCCTTGTGGGAAAGTATTTCCTTGGCTGCTTCATCCACTAAATGCACAAACTCCTTGACATCGAAGCTATAGTTGGTGAATTTGGCATGCGCCCCACCCTCGGGATGATGTCCTGCGTCCTGCGGATAGACCAACTCCCGCTGCTCCCAAGTCCGATAACGAACCCCACGCAGGCGAGCCAGGTCTTTATAGCAATTGGGATCCTCACAGTTGTATAGCTCGAAGATACAGGCCCAGTTGGGCAGGAAGAGCAGGTGCGTTAGGCCAGCGCCGTGCATGCCGATGAGTATGTCCGTATTCCGGGTGATGGCCAACTGATCAGTGAAGGAGAGCCTGCCAGGAAAACGTAATTAAATAGAGCTTAATAACAGGCTGTAATCATTACCCACCTCTCATAGGATACGCGCTGCACTGAGTACCGCTCATTTTCCTCCAGTGGGGCCAATAGCTCCTCCTCATTGAGCACTTGCCGGTACTTTGTGCGACGAGATAGATAGGTTATTCGTATTCTTCGCTGTGGTGGCTTGTAGGGAATCTGCAGGCGATGCAGAATGAACTCCGAAAAAGCGCGAAACAGTCCACTATTGGAGCAGCCCTGGATCTAAGAAAAAATTGTCTTAATTGTTGTTATACTGCGATTGTCTCACACTTACTATCGGTGTATTGTAAAACAATCCAAAGATCATCCTGGGCAGCAGAGGAAGTACCACGTTCTTGAAGCACACCCTCTTGCCCTCCACATCGCTGAGCGTCCAAACAGGTCTTTGCGAGAAGGCCTTGAAGGTGTCCCTAAAGGGCGAGTCGTACGGATATGTTTCCCAAATAAGTATCTGCACATCCGTGTTAAAGGCGGCCGGATGCGATTGGTTCACAAAGAGCGAGGCATACAGGTTGAAGAAGTCGCAAAAGTGATGATACATGTTGTACGTGGCATCGATTTTCATGATGAAAGTGGGCGTATTTACCACCACATCGCAGAGCCCGCTCTCCAATATGGGATGTGGTAAAACCTCAAAGTTTCTCAGTTCTGGACCCCAGGATTGCAGGGCCGATCCGATGTGATCCATTTCACCGGAAAGTCGCGTGCGATTTAGATCACAGTGGCCGAGGAGTTGTCCTGGACTTAAAACATCCATGTGATAGCGAATGCGCTCCTCTCTTTGCGCTAGATTACGGAAATCAAAGAGCAGATTCCGTCCCCGGCAAAAGCGCAGATAGTGGGTGCACTCCAGCGAGGAATCTCCCAAATAGGTGGGCACACACTGCGGGGCCAGTTGGGAGAGCTGCTCCTGGATGTACCCGAAATCCGCCTGATTGTAGAAGGTCCTCACCTGGGCCTCCTTGCTCCTGGCCCAGCCAGTGTGCTCCCCAGGACACTGGGGCGTCTGGAAGCGGCCATCCGGCGTGCAATCCCGTTCGTGGCCCCAGCAGGCGGATGATATGGTGCCCTTCCCGGTGAGATTCGTGGGCAGCTGATGTTTCAGCTTGGGAAAGGTGTTTAGATACCGGATGAGGTGCTCCGAGGGAAGGCTGGGAAGGGAAAACCCATCCAGGTGCTTGGCATCCTCGACCTGGTGAGACTGGCCCAAGCACAGGTGGAGTATCCCCATGAGTATTGGCAGGATTGGCATCTTGAGTTGAGTTGGTTCAAGTTAAGTACTTCGTTGCATGCGATTTCCCAGCGATTTTCCCGGCGATTTCTCACGCTTTCACGGCAGCATCTTCAGGTGCATTTCTCGGCCGAGCGATGATGATCTCACCTGGCCTTAACCGGCTAAAAGATGATTATGAGCGGGCTAATGTTAATTGTCCATGTTAATTGTTCGCCAAAGAACGCGGAAAACCTGTCGTGACCAGTGTGCCCGTTTAACAGTTAGAAAAAGCCACAAAAATACACCACTTGTCAATCAAATAGGTTTACTGGAGATGTTAAACAAAATAACACACTCATAGGAATAAAAAATTGTGAATAAATTAAGTGTTGTTTTGTAATGGCTTCAAAAAAAATATATACATCTTAGAATCGAACCAAAACATTAAATTGCATTTAACGAGCAATTTTGATTAATTAATCGATTCTTGAATATTAGTAACTGCTTAATTCGAACAATGCTTAGTCCTTTTAAAGGGACCTGAGTTGCGTAAGTCCGAAGGTATTCAATAAGTATTAAACTATTTCCCAAGCCATTATTCAGACTATCGTAAGATTCAAATTTTAAATTGGCTAATACAAACATGTCCAAACTAAAATTCATTAAATTTAATTAAATGTTTATTCCCCGAATACTTCGCAGTGTTTTACTCATTCAGTTTAGATAAGGTTGTTGAGTTTCCATTTTAAATAATATAGAGATAAATATTTAAATGCATTAGTATGTATCACAAAAAAACTGAAAAAATTTATAATAAAAACCTAACTATGTACTTAAGTAGCACTTATTTAAAAATGGTCGAATAATTAAACACGACCTGATCTTTTATTTATTCCTTTTGGTCTAATCAATAAATAAACGCTCGATTTGAAATTGAATTGAACTTAGGCATGCTCTTGTATTTTTTTAAGTTTACAGCGTTTATAAATAATGGTTTACGAGTACTTAGTTATGCTTAGCCACGAAAAAATATGTGTATATTTATTAAATTAACTTAGGGCATAGACTAAACAGAAAACTACATACAATCAACTAATCGATAACTAATTATCACTTTTAAAAAATGAAGAATTGATTTAAAAAAATTATTAAAAAATTAATTTAGCATTTAAAGAGGCTGCACATATCGATCGTATTGTATAAACATATAACTAGGGATGCGCGTCCGCGGGTTCTGAATTTCAGATCAGATCAGACGAAGACGCGCATCAAGTCGCTGCTGGTTGGAGTGGAGTTGCCTCCCGGATTGGAATTGTTCCCCTTCCAGGGAGGATTGCTATTGGCGCTGGGAGTGTTGCTGATGCTGTTCATGTTGCTGATGTTGTTCATGTTGCTGATGTTCATGTTGCTGCTGCTGTCGGATAAAGTGCGCAGCAGTTGCTTCTTGAGAAGCTGCTGTGGGGAGTGACTTTGACTTTGGCTGGCATTGTGGTTATTTTGGAGCGGCAGGTTGAAGCTGGGTCGGCCGAGGTTCTGCAGCTGCTCCTGTTTGCCTGCCAACAGTCGGCGGCGTTTCTCGTAGAAACTGAACGTCAGCTTGTTATCCTCCTCCTTTTCGCGCTCCTTGTCCTTCAACGGTTGTTCGGGTTCCTCCCCTTCCGGTGGTGGCTTTTCCTCCTTTTTGACCTTTCCCATTAACAGCTCATTCAAACGCTTGGCTGTCATGACTCCTGCTGATCCTGCTGCTGCTCCTCCAACTTTGCCACTGACCAGCGCCCTCTTATTGCATCTTAATCGATCCTGTGCTATGACATTCGATCTCTGAGCATAGATGGTTCTGCCTGAAGCAGGATTTTTACCCGGAAAACCATTACTCAACGCTGGCGAGGGCGCCGGTGGAGGGCGGGCCAGTTGTCCAACCACACCCATATGACTACCACCTGTCAGGGACAACAAACTATTGTTGGCCTTCCGCGTGGTTAGCAGATTCTTTCGGAAGGTCACACCCAATCCGTGGGGCATCTTGACCATACCGAATGTGTTCATGGCTAATGGACGAGGCGATCCAGAGTACAGCATCACATTGAAGAAGCTGTCCTCATGGTATTTGGCATTGGCCAGCGAAGGATGATGGTTGATTTGAGGATTTGTTGTGGGTGGCTGGCTGGCGGCCTTGGCCTCCAGCTTAACAGTCTTAACGGTGTCGCTAACAGTCTCCAGTTTACTGAACTCAAAGTCGCCCAGCTCATCCGCCAAGTGGTTCGTCTCCGTCCCAGAACTCAAGCCTGAGTGCATGCCTGATTGCACGACATTCACGTCCACATTTTCGTAGCCAGCTTGGGTTAGGAATTCGGCCAAAACCTTTTGCTGCTCCAGCATGGAAACGGGATTCGACTCGCTGATCTCGTAAATGATGTTAGGCAGGATCATGTGCTCCTCTAGGTGCTGTTGCTGCTGCTGCGGATTGGTCATCGCCTCATCCGTCAGAGATGGCACGTTGTAAACGCTGAACTGACGCTGCTGATCGTGATCCTGTAGCTTCTGATCCACCTGCTGCTGCTGCTCCTGCTGTTGCTGCTGATCTAGCATTTGCTGTTGCTGGTAGATGAGTTGCTGCAGCTGAATGGCATCGATGGTGGTCAGCTCTTGCTGATGCTCCTCCTCGCCGTAAACCTGTTGCCCCGGCTGCTGTTGATAGACGGTATAGTCCTCGCCAATGGTACCGTCCTCGAAACGCAGTCTTTTTGTCGCCTGAGCGGGATGCGGAAGAGTTCCATTCTGCGATTGCTGTTGCGACTGCTGCTGCGATGTGTCCAAAGCACTCTCGTCAAAGTTATTGAGAATCTCGTTGATCAGCTTGCTGTCCAGCATTTCGTCCAGTGTTTGTGAAATGGAGTTCTCATCGGAGGTGTTGGGCAGGGGCAGTTCTTCCTCTTCGGGGGCCACCGGTTCGGAGGTGACCGCTCCCGTGATGGAGGACACTGCCTGATCTAGCTCGCTGAGCACTTGCTGTTGCTCATAGGGATTCACCAGGGGCTTCTCTTTGTTCTTATCCTTATCCACTTTTGTTCGATGGTCGCTGGAGCCCTTAAGCTGAAATACGGAAAGAACTATTATAGCAAGGTTTAGGGTTGAAAAAAGATAAAATACCTTTTTCTTTGGCTGCAGCTCGGGCAGCTTCTCCGCCTCCGTTAGGAGCTGGGCAGGTGAGTAGTTGACCCCCAGTGCCACCTCGCTGGAGGTTGCTCCCAACGTGGGAGTGGGCGGTAAACTGCAGGACGAGTTGCTAGAGGAGGAGAACAAGGTGATGGCAGCCGGGGCAGCTATTACAGCTGGAGGTTCCTCCTTGATAACAGGCGCGACTACTGGAGGCGCCACAACGGCCGCACCTTTCTTTGATCCTTTGGAGTCCTTGTGATTGGACTCCAACGCTGGCGCTGGAGCAGGTGAGGAGTGGTGGCGGTTCTTCGAAGACTTTGACCGCGAACGACTCCCGGTGGAAGTGCTGCTGCTGCCCTTGGATGAGGAAGAACTGCTGCTCTTGCTGCTACTGCTCTTGTGACGCGACGACGACGACGAGGAGGTGGTGGTGGAGGAAGATCCAGCCCCAGCCGGATGCTGCAGTGAGTTTGAGCTGCTTGACCCGTTTGAGCAGCTGGAGAGCGTCGAAGCAGAAAGTGTGTCCGTGGGCGAACTGGGCACTATGGCCCCGCCCTCCTGGCTGTTTTCCGTGGCAGTGAGACGCGAGTCGCTGGAACTGGTTGTCCCATTCGGATTGGGATTAACCTTGCTGGATGTGGCCTCCCAAACGCTCGGATGCTGCAGTGCAATGTGATGCTGGAAGCCTGCCTTCGTGTAACATCCCGAGCAGGAACTGCAGAGTACTATATCCCGGCTGGCCAGCTTGGGCACCAGATCATAGTAGGCCATGTCAGCCGACTGAAGACGCTGGACCTGCACTTTCGCCTGCTGATCTCCCCCGGCGGAGGAGTTCTTCCCGCCACGCAGATAGGTTTTCTCAGCCGTACGCAGCTGTTTAATGACTTTGTCCAAGTCGAAGACCTGCTGCCACTTTTGGCCCTGCAAGGAGAATAGCGAGAGTCCCGATCCCGAGCCGGAATTGGAGCCGGCTGAAGAGTCTGGCTTCGCCATGCCCTGTGCTTTGTGCTTGGTGCCATTTTCCGGATAAACTCCCACGCCGGAGGAGGCCACATCGTTCAGGGGCATTCCGGACAGAAACTGAGGTTGCAGGATCCGGGAGTTTGGTAGATACGAGCAAAATTGCCCCCTAAAGCACCTGCAAAATAAAAAAAAATTTAATTTAAAGAAACTTTTCAAATTAATAGCGATTGAGGTTAAAATTGGTTAGTAATATAAGGAAACGCTAAAAGTTTGTTGGTAATTATAAATAAAATGCTAACTAATTTCATATACAAATGTTTTGTAAATATTGAATACAATATTAATTCCGAAATCTTTATTAATTAAAAATATTTTTAATGAAAATATTTTTAAAGTAAATTTTCAATTTATTATATTTCAATTTAACTTAATTTAAATAACTGAATGAAATGCTTTATAAGAACACTTGTTAACTTTATTACTAACATATTTTATAATGTATCCATTCTATACAAGCTGCTTTTATTGGTGAAACGTAATTTAAAAATTGTATAATTTTATATTAACTGTAAATTTAATACCTGTCAAAACATCATTTCCGTTTTGACAGTTTTCCATAAATAATGACGTTTTGAATCGGTTGTTTCTTCTTATAAATCCACTAAGGACACGGATCTTAACCCTGAATTTGATATACTGTCATCTGCTAGGGTGTACATATGTACATATGTATCTTTTGTGGAAGGTCTGAAAACTGAACGTACAAATTAATGGCACTCGAAAATTAATCACCTTTTAAACAATTTCTTAATTAGACAATTTTGTATACCGTAAATTTTCAGCGAAAGCTTACAGGTGAGTGCGGACCCCCGCCCCCACTAGAAACATCCCCCTCGCACCAACACCCCTGGGCCGAATCAGCTGTTTTTGACAACCGCTACTCGAGTGGTGCCATCTCGCTCGTACTGCCGCACACATGCGCAGACACTCACACCGACGCACCACACACTTACCCACACCAACGCAACACAAACAAAGCACACGATTGAAAATCACAAAATAAAAATCACTCAGAACCCTCGCAAACGATTTTACTTGGATGCTGAATAATTTCGGAATGACTTACGTCGTCGTTAACACACTTCCATTTTGAATGCGGCTGTTGCTTTGTTTTATTTTTTATTTTACTTTTCTCCCAAATGCATGCAGTGTGACCCTGGCTCAATAATCCATCGAAAATCCCAAAAAATCTCATGTTGTAATACTGAAACAAAACACCCTAAATATGACTGAAAATTAAGCGTACCAGAAGGTGGAAAACTTCGATGATGTTTTATTGGATAATCAAACCTTGTCAGTTAACATTGTGTAATTTAAAAAACCCAATTTAAGAAGTTTAAGAAATTGTCCTCAAATTTGGCATTTATTTATTGTTTTAAAGTGTGGGACAATTAAAACAAAAATTATAACTTCTTTGTTCTCTTTTAATTTTTTTAATAAATTATTCAATTTTTGTACCTTTTAAAAGATATTCTTACGTGGGTTGCTGAGACATGCATCTACACATATAGAAGAACATAGGCAAGTCAAAATTCTGAACGTTTTTTAACCTGACAGTAGAGTACTGGATAAATTCTCAATGAAATCAGGACATTAGAATTAAATGGGGTTTTGTCACCATAGAGTTAAATATTCATCCAAAATGATATTAGGATCAGTGGGAGCACTTGAAAGATGACAGTGCCTATGTCTATATAACTAATTTAGGAAGGATTTGCCCCTTTAAGACCCAAAGGTCGTCACAGATTTGAAAACAACTGGGAGGGTTGAGGCACCAAATGTTGATCTATCGAATAGGGTTCTCCACTTCCTGTGGAAACTTGGAGTTGGTCAGAATATGTAGTTTTGGCTCCAAACGGTTTCCGTCTGCCTGAGATCCCAATACACCGCTCGAAGTATTTAAAATGTTCAATTAAATGGGATCCATCATCCAGGGTGACGCAGTATAATTTTGGACAAAAGTATAAAATTTCTCCAAACCATGACGCTGTGGAGGTTTTATTTATTTTAAATACTTTTTCACAAAGTTTACTGATGTGAACGTTAAAATATCCAGTTCAAATAATTTGGACTATTTTCTATTTATTTAAAACAAATTTAAAGATTTCCCAATACAAATAATTTTGCAACGACACAAGAAAAACATTAGCAAACAAAACACTTAAAGGTTTTCAAAAGGGGTACAAAATCTTTCTAAATTTGGAAAAACTCTGGACCCAGTAGGCGAACTACAAACTTCAAACGAATGTACGACTAGCTATAAGTCTTTACATTCAGTTTAACGCAATCTTTCGTACGGTTAACACCAATATTATTTGTATTTTTGGAAGTCGTTTTACATTTTCTCAACAATGTTTTTAAAAGTTTTTATGAAAGGCACAGACAAGTCGCGACGGGCTCCGCTTATAAGGCTCGAAACTGACGATAAAGTACACCATTTAAAATCGGAATTAGAAAAACACGCGAAAATACCCGTCCATAGCCAGAATATCGTTTTCCTTGATAAAATTTTAAGTGATGAGGACCGCCTGACGCACGTTTTTCGCGAATGCGAAACCTTTGGGACGATTTCCAACGAAATAGATGCTCACGAAGCGGATATCATGGCATTCTACAAGGACGATCTAGTCTGCCGTATGAGATTTCTTGAGGACTTGGGATGCGGCTCACCCCGCTCATCGTGCATCATGGACCAGGACTTGGAGTGGCCCGCGGAGCTCCATTCCCAGATCCACGGCTTGGTTAGGGGCTGCTCATCCAACGAGAGTTCCATGCAGGAATCTAGTACAAGTACTTCGAGTGCCAGCTCTAGCATGGGTGGTACCACCACCTCAATGACAATCCAGAAGTCAGGCGCCGCCTGTTGTCCTTCTGATGAGGATGACCATGAAGACCACGACCCATGCCTAGTAAGATGCTGCAACGAAGGGGATGATGACCGTCCGCCATATGCCAGAGTTATGCCTGAGGATCGCCGTTTTGGAGTCGTCATAACTAACGATGATGACCCTTGCGATTGCCAATTCGCGTGCATCCTTATTTTTCTTGTTGAACAGTTCCAGGGGTCGGCGGAAGCTGGATCCTTGAGCTTCAGTCAGTGCACCTCGGCAGTTACCTTTGACTGCGCATTGCTAATCGTGTGCGAGGACACCGAGACAAGCGACTGGATACTCAGAATGACCAGACCCATGTGCCCACCCTATAAGTGCACTACATTCATCAAGCATTTCGAGCTGGTGCGGTGCTCCTTCGTTATTCCGATGGTGGTCAAGCGAGAGCTGTGCAGGATCTTCAACGTCATGGAGAAGCAGAATTGCGGTCTGGACACAAGCAAGTGGTGCGTCATGAGCAAGACCCTTTTGGACAAGTGCTCGGAGGAATACCCAACTAAGGTCATCTACGACGAGGCTCCCAATTGGGAGATCATCGCATATATCGACCAAGAGAGCGTCGATTACATCAACAAGCACTGCTACAAGTTGAAGTTTATGATGTGGCACTTGCCTTTCGACTTCTGCCAGACCAATGTGTGCCATTAAATTGTCAGTAACTACCCGGACCAGGATAACAAATCAAAATTTTCTGTAACACCTTTAGACAACTGCTGGACTCTAAATTTAAAGTTTCTTTCGTAGTAAGCATAAACCAGAAAAAGTATATGGACATTCGTTTCATTTGATCTTGGGTAAAATGGAAGGGGCAATGAAATATAACAAATATAATTGGTTTCAATGATGAACCTTAATCTTCATCGCTAGAATCTTCCTCCTCTTTAGCTTTTCTCGTCTTACGCTCCAGTTCTTTGGCGTATAGTTCCTTGAAAGCTTCGTATTCAGGCAGGGTGACATGACAGATCTTTGTGGCAAAACTCTTCTCGGACGTGTCCGTAATCTGATACAGTTTGTGGTTGGTAGTGGGCTCATTTGGATCGGCTTTCAGAGGCCGGGGCTTAAATAGACCCAAACGGACCAAGAATTCGTGACGGCAACGCAGCTCACTAAATGGTAAAGACAATGCTGCCGATTTCGCTAGTTCCGGCACTTCAACTCGCATCACATCTATTATGAAATTTAGTTTTTCCTCTACGGTTTCCTCGGGTTGGGCTATTAAATCCGGACTGTTCATCAATAGTTTCCAAACATTTTTACTGGTGGAAACGCGGCTCTTAATAAAGCCAATTTGGGAAAGTAACTGATGAGAGTCGCTTATATCCAGTAGTTCAGGATATTTTGTGAGGAGAAGGTGCAGAAGATTCTCGCCGAATTGACAGGCTCTCCAGATTTCTAGGCTGTTGATTATTTTGTCTGGTGTTCGTTTCAGAACTGCAGGATTGCCGGTTACAATCCTCAGGAAATTAACCGTTTCCAAACCGTGATTTTGAAAGGTTTCGTGGGCCCTTCTCCAGATCTCAGGTGAGAAAATAGATAAAGTAGGCTCTATTTTGATTGCTTCGTCTATGTGGACTTGCTCGAGTTGCAAAATCTTGGGACTGGCCAGATGTCTTATGTGATGTAACTGCAAAATATGCAATGTTATACGATCCTTAATAATAAGGATTTAAATATACTCACCTTTGGTTGCTGCTTTAATACAACTTGCGTGTTAAATAATAGTTTTCTTAGCATTTTTGAAGATGTTTTTCTGAACTCTGAAAGCAAAACAATAAACAGCTGTTGTCTTCTTCTTCAAATTGCCATCCACCAAGAAACGCCAACAGCGCATGCTTAGTTTGTGCACCCACCACAATTGGAAAAAAGCGCATTTGTCAAGTAAAACATGGAAAATAACTTGTTTTTCTTGTCGGGTGGTTGTGGATAGTTTATAGAAAAAAGTTATAAATAGAACTGTCGCGCATAAAAAACAACACAGTGGAAAGTTTTATCCAAGCGTTTAGTTCAGTTGCAAACGTAAGAAATTTTAATTAGATAAACAAAATAAGCGGTGAACTAGCCATTATCTTAATTACATTCGTAATTTGGAAGTGTCAAATTACAAACAAAACAGTGAGCTTATTTTACATTTAAATAAAAATGCAAAGTATTAATAAAAATACCTGTTGCTCGCAATAACAATCCTATACGAGTGGCGAATATTCCAGGAAAATATAAATGAACACTGAAAAAAACAGTAATGATCAAATAAAATACTTCTACTTTAAAATAAATATCAACTCGAACAAAGGATCATCATTGACTTATTGAAAAGAAATCATATTTTTCAAACCTCTTGGCTATGATTAGGAAATCTCTATTTCATTATCTTTTATCTGAGTGTAGCAAATTGAACGTGACAAGTAATTATTTTTATTGAGGAAATTATTGTCAAAGAGAGGAGGGCTCGTTCGATCAACTGATAGCTATGAATGGCAGTACAGGTGGCATCCAGAATAATTCAAGTAGTACTCAAACAAGGTCAAACTCAATAACATTGTGAAATAACACAATTATTTTTCTTCGATTGGGATTCAAACAACTGGTGGTGGGAAGATAAACTCCCGGTGGAGAGATATAGTGCTCGATTCTCCCGCGTTCTCTGCTGATAAGGATGGTTCTCTGAGTTTCCACCACCCATATTTAACTAACAGTCCACTCGGCTTTCCACTCACTCACAGCCCGTCCCACAAACCAGCAACATGTCGAAACTTATCCGTTGGGGAATCGCTTCTGCCGGCAAGATCAGCGAGGACTTCGTCATCGCCCTGAGTACCCTGCCCTCCAGCGACCACAAGGTCCAGGCTATAGCTGCTCGATCCCTGGATCGGGCCCAGGAGTTCGCCACCAAGCACTCGATCCCCAAGGCCCTCGGAAGCTACGAGGAACTGGCTAAGAGCGGCGATGTCGGTGAGTAGAAATGCAACAAAATTTCAGATTTTCTAAAAAAAACAAATAGGAGTAAATTCTAAACTTAAATTTAAAAGTTAATAAGCAAATACAAGCTTTGATAAAATATTGTAATCCAATAATATTCTTCTATTTTCTCCCCAGATGTTGTCTACATTGGAACATTGAACCCCCAGCACTACGAGGTGGCTGTGCTGATGCTGAACAATGGTAAACATGTTCTCTGCGAGAAGCCTCTGGCCATGAACAAGAAGCAGGTGGAGGGCATCCTGGCTGCTGCCAAGGCCAACAAACGCTTCTTCATGGAGGCCGTGTGGTCCCGATTCTTCCCCTCATACCAGCGCGTCAAGGAACTCATCTCCGGCGGGCAACTTGGCCAAATTAAGGATGTGGAGGTCAACTTCGGCTTCCCATTGGAACATGTGGATCGCCTGCAGTAAGTTCACAAAATATTTAATTATTGTGTTGCTATATCCATCTTCAAAACTGTAAATAATCCAATAATCCATAGCATTTCAAATAAGTAAAGTCACTTTTGAAGCATTATTTCAATTTCTGGCATCACAGATTTTGTAAAGACACTAAAATCACTTTACTACTATCACTTGAGCCTTAACACTTAATAATTTAAACTATCTCCCATAGGAAACGCGAACTTGGAGGAGGTGTGGTCTACGACCTTGGAGTTTACACCATCCAGGTTTCCCAGTGGGCTTTCCAGGAGAAGCCGGAGAAAATCGAGTCGAAGGGAAGCCTCAATGCTGAGGGCATCGATGATGACGTGAGTGCCACTTTGACCTACAGCGGCGGACGTACCGCTCGCATGCGCTTCTCGTCCAAGGAAAAACTGTCCAACACCGCCGTGATCAAGGGCAGCAAAGGACAAGTTACCGTAAGTAATCTTATCGATCGTGATTAAACAGAATAATATTTATATATATTATCTACCAGCTGATTGACTTCTGGACGGCCAACAAGATGATCGACATCGATGGCCAGGAGAAGGAGTGGCTCCCGCCTAAAGGCAAGTTCCAGACCAACTACGCCAACTCCGAGGCCATGAGATACGAGGCGGAGTCAGTGCGCCAGTCCATCGTCGCCGGGGATGTGGAGAACAAGAACGTGACCTACGCCGACAGTTTGCTCTTCGCCGAGATCGAGGATACCATCCGCAAGCAGATCGGTGTGCTCAACAAGTTCGACGAGGAGTAAAGATAAATTGTATAGCTAAACATGTAAACGTAACATAAATAATAAACAGATATTTTGTAAAAATTGTTTATCAAGTTTTCCTAAACATCTCTTTAAAATACGCATATCAAAAATATTCAAAATAATTAAACGATTTGTATTTCTCTACTTCCTCAATAAAACTAAAACATTATTATTAAGAAATAGTATATTTACAATATTCGATATATCTAAAGTTTCAAAGCCGTTTCTCACCTTCAGCTCTTCTTACAAAGAGTTTACCCCAAGCGGTTCCAATTTCAATGCCCCACTCTAAATCAAGGATAGACAAACAGGGCGATAAGGCAAAATATAGATTGTAGAACGGCAGCAATGACATTCCCACTAGGTCGAACTCTGCCTGGGGTGTAACTAAAGTAGATGACAGAGCAATATTCACGACTAACTGATCACGTTTTCGACGCATGTTAGGCGTCTTTTAATTTAGGAGCTGGTTATCTTAGGGTCTTGTGGGGTTTCTGCTCTCTTATCTCTAATCACGATTACCACCCAGTCTAGCATTTTTAAAATTTAGACTTAGTTTAGACTCCATTTAATTATTTGTGTTAATAATTATGAAATCCCAAAATAGCTAGAGTTTTTTTAAACCTATAAAAACCTTATTCTTTACCTTATTTTTGTTTTTAGAACTCTTTAGGCAACTGTACTTTAAAAATGTTGTAGACCCTACGTTATCTTCTGATAGTCGCCAAAAGAAGGGGCTCGTCTTGGGTCCGAGAGATAAGATTCAAATGTTGTTACGACATTCCACATCATTCAATTGCGTAGAACACTTCATGGCCAGAGCGCCACTACAGATTTCAAATATAGGTATCAGTTCAGGAACACTTAGGGGTATTTTATATATTTCATTTTGGTTCGAAAAAGTTGGAAATAGAATCTAAGTATTTAAACCAACAATTAAATCAATTCATTACAACTTTAAATTAAGAATGTTTATTTATACCATGCCAAAAATATAGGACTCCCACCAAAATGGGTACTATAAATCTTGGATACAAAGAAACCAGTATAAATAAGTTTACCCGTAATATACCAAGTTAACAGGAAACAGAGCATCGTCATCCAAAAATGTAACTTATAGAGCGTGGATCTGTTTGGTTCCTTATCAACCGGAATGCAATGGAATACGAAAAGTGCAATGAATGCAGATGCCAGGGACTGATAGGAGACCCCTCGGGACTGGCACTCGGTATCATTATCATGGCGTCAGTAGCTGCCCGGACACGAGCCCGCGAGAGACTCGACTCGAAAACAAAACGGAGACCCGTAAGGCATTCAGTACTCTGGGAATCGCAATGCAGAGCCAGACGAATCTGAACTGGGGCATCGCAGCGGCGGGCAGGATAACGCAGGACTTCGTCACTGCCCTGGGAACCGTGGAGAAATCCCGCCACGTAGTGGTCGCTGTGGCCGATGTGGATGGCCAGCGGGCTCAGGAATTTGCCCAGAGGAATCAGATTCCCAGACATTACGATGGATTCGATGCCTTGGCTCTGGATCGCGAGGTGGATGTGGTATATGTGGGCACTCTGAATCCATTTCACTACGCTGTCGTTCATCTCATGTTGGCCAGGGGTAAAAATGTCCTGTGCGAGACTCCGATGTGCTTGGGATTGGAACAGGCCAAGGAACTGTATTCATTGGCCGAGCAGCGAGGAGTTTTCCTAATGGAGGGTAAGATTATAACTGAAACAAAGGAATATAAATGTTTCAATTAGATCCCATTTCAGGTATGTGGTCACGTTTTTTCCCCAGCTACGAGCGTTTGAGGGAACTCCTGAATAACGACGTCGTGGGAGAGGTGACCCAGGTGAAGATCCAACATGGTTTCCGTTTGGCCCAGATGGAACGGGTCTGTAATCGCTCGTTGGGAGGCTCCATCCTAATGGACATTGGCATCTACGCATTGCAACTGGGTCAGTTTGTTTTCGGTGTTTCGCCTGTCAAAATCCTGCCCAGTGGAACGCAATTAAACAAGGATCGAGTGGATGTGCAGGGTGAGTTTATGCTGGACTATGGAGATGGACGGAGATTGCTGGCTTTGGTGACGGGGCTGGAGAACCTGGAGAACGATGCCGTCATTACGGGCACCAAAGGCGAGATTAAGGTGAGCTTATCACCATACTTTTCCGGATCTGACCTGGGGATCAGGGGGATTATTATCAGTACAGCTGTTTCAGCCATACTTTGTAAATCTTCCAGCTGTCGAACTACTGGTGTTGTACTCAAGTGAGCCGCACTAATGGTCCTCCCGAATCATGGCCTTTGCCCCAGGCCAAGTTTGATTTTCACTACACAAATACCTGCGGATTGAGATACGAGGCGGAGGAAGTGCGTCGCTGCATAGAGAAACGTCTGCTGGAAAGTCCAAAATTCACGCATGCTGAAAGTCTGGAACTAATGGCCATTACCGACGAGATGCGACGACAGATTGGGGTCACCTATGATCTTTAACTTTTAAGAAAAGTTAGAAAAACTTAGCTGTAAATAAAAACGTAACAGAGTGGATTAATTAAAACGAGATTAAATAATATTATCGTCTGTGAAAGGAAATATGAATAAATTTATACCTTAAAAGACTATTTACCAGAAATTTGGATTTCAAAGTTCATATTGTCATTATTTTAAAAATAAAAGTAGGAAATAACATTGGGGACTTTAAAAATATCAATTTAAATTAGCTTCTTTCCGCAAACAATTTAATTTAAAAAGTCCTCTATCCAAATATAAAACCAGTCGTACTATTTTGTATTCAATATTTATTTAAATAATTGCAATTATTTTTTCTTTTACGTTTTCATTTTTTCTGCTTTTGTCGGTTTCAAGTTGCATATACATATTTCTAAACCGTACTGCATGTTGTGTTTTTTATGTCTGTTTTTTCTGTTTGCGGCCGTTTGTTGTTCTGGGTTCATTAAGGCTAATACGCTAAATGTCAGAAATGAGGAACTTAAGAGCTAAATGAATACTTAAAAGCAGCTAAATTAGGGATAATTCTACAAAAGGCTTATACAATTCAATGGGTAATTAGATTGGCTTCATAACTAAATGCAAAATACAAAACACAAAATCGGTTAACGCTCGATTTCTGTTAAGCTGGGTTAAATCAGATTTGACACACACAGAATTTTAGAGAAAAGTATAAAAGTATCTTAAATTCATTAGAGCAACGCAATAAAGGGAGTAAAACAGTGTTCCTTTATAATTTGTTCTTTTTTGATTACACAACAGAAAAAAAATTAGTAGAGTAGAACTTGATTTGCCGATGGAAACATAGCTTAAGCAACAAAGTAACTAAATTACAGGATGCACTTAGAGACTAATTAGAATTTAACAATAAAATGATTTATACAAGGCGGTCCAAGTCCGATTTGGTGACTCTCGCCGCTACTAAAGAGGTCTCCTGAAATCGAGGAGTGACGCCAACGCTGTCCGTTTTGATTCCTGCCCCTGTTTATCCTTCTGCCTGCTTCCTTCCCTTCCCCAGCCACGCCCACCGCCGCCTTAAACGTAATGAAGTCTTTTGCTGTGTAAAATTGCTATAAAAACTATTCCCAGCTCTCTCTTTGCTCCTCCTATTTCGAATTAAGGGTGGGTCTTTTGTGCGCTCCGCACAATTCTCAAGAAGTTTGTCTTGGACTTTGATATAGAATTTCAATGGGTCCGGAAGAACAGGTAGAGGGAAAGTTTTACTTAACCAAAGGATATTTACCAACTATTTTCTTCATATTGTTACTAAAATACTTTCATAGACATTTTTCTAAAAGACTTAAATACATCTGATGTAATTCAAGGGGGATATTACAATTTAACAAATATTTGTAATAAAAAGGAAATGTTCTTTGTGGGCATGTAAAAGTCAAATATTCTTCGTTTCGCTTTAAAAGTTCACTTTAAAAATGATTGAACAAAAATTGTAAAAGAACAGCTAAGTCCAATTCAAAATCACTGAGAATTGTCCAATAAAGTAAACTGCACCTGATTCTCAAATCATTTAAAGCCCCATAAATCGACCCATCCGAAATCTGATTTGGTGGTGCCTTCCCTGCTCTAGGTGGACTCGCTTAAGGCCTGTTGATGCTGTTCCAGCGGCTGGCGTGGCTGTGGGGCAGATGGAGGAGCTGGCAGGGCCAACGTGGTCATTGGTGGCAGCTTGCTTTCCACCACGGCGACAATGGGCGCTGGGTTCACAAGCGGCGGGGGCAACGCCTCGAAGTTCATACATCCACGCTGCTGACCATCTTCCACAATGGGCGGTGTATCGATGGAGTCGATGGTGGATGCACTGGACGAGGTTCTCCCACCGCTAAATCCCTCAGAGACGGCCACCAATGCGGCGGTGGTGTTGCGGTTGTGCTGCAGCAGATCGTTGATCTGGGAGAGGCGCGAGGAACTGGCGATCGGTGTGCTCAAACTGATAAATTCATTAGCGTTGGCCGCGGAGGAGTTGGACAAGCCAGCGGCTGGCGAGGATGCTGCGACGGCAACTGGATTTCCAACGAGCCGCGACGACGTGGCCGAGGTGGAGGCAGCGGTCATGGAGGCAGCTGTGGTCTGGTATGGAGCATTGCTGGAGGCGGTTGTGGTCGCATTTCCATATGGCGGAGCCGAAGGAACCGCACAGGAGCTGTATGCACAGGAGCTGGGTGATCCGGAAGCTACGGCGACGACGGGTGACGGGTAGGCGGTCGGATAGGAAGTGATCTGGGTTGGAACAAAATAACAAAAGTTAAGCACATTTCATACTAAGAGGGTGTATGCATTTTAAAGAAAATCTTAATTACAAATAAATCTGGCAAGGATCAGCTTCCCTCACCTGATTGCTGCCGTAGCTGAGCGATTGGTAAAGCTCTCCGTAGGAGGGCGTGGCATTGGTTCCACTAGCAAAGAGACCCGAATCCAGGCTGTCCAATTGGGCGTATCCCGCGTAGCTCTGGCCCTGCGCCTGCTGCTGTGTGGCATTCATCTGACCAGGAGTGGTTGCAACCTGCTGCTGTTGGTAGTAGCTCACACTGCTCTCGGGCGTGTAAGCTGGCGAAGCGTAGCCGGAGCTGTAGTTTGATTGCGTTTGCAGGAAGTACGCGGGTGCTGGGGTAGTCGTTCCCACCGGGGAGTAGCTGATAGTCGGCTGGGTTTGCGGCGCCTGTTGCGGCTGGAGATGCCCCACTTGGACGCCTTGAACTGAGCCCTGTCGCTGCTCCAGATCCAACCGCATCACCGTGTGGATGTAATGCGTTCGTACCCTCGTGGGATTGAACTCAACACGGCCGACAGTATTGCCACACGCTTCGCGAGTGCATCCGCATGGGAACATGGCTCGATCCACTTGACATTTTATACCCGCCTGGCTGCAGGCGCAGGTTTCCGGATCGCAAAACTCTCTGCAGGAGCAGCCGCAAACTTCCCTGGAGTTCCTAATATCCCGGCACTCGCTCTTCTCGCTGGCATCGATCTTCCGCACGCCCGCTGCTTTCAACAGGGCTCTCCTCTGCTTCGGAGTCACCGGCTGTAGGAACCCATTGGAGCCGTCTTCCGCATCAGAACCACTGCCCTCGCTCAGGTAATCCTCCTCGGACTCTTCGCTGTCATCGCTGCTGGAGCCACGCGGCTGGAGTTCTTGGTTTTGGCTGCGATGTGCCCGCCTCAATTCCGCCGCATGCTCGGCCAGGGTCATCGTCTTGAAGGCAATATGCCTGGCACCCATGCCCAAGGTGCATCCGCCAGCCGTGGGCACGCAACTGAAGCCCTGTTGTCGTGGGAAATAGTATACCTTCACCTCGTCAAAGTTAATGGAGCGCTTGGGTCGCTTTTGAGCGGCCAAGGGAGGAGCAGATATATCGGGCACCAGATCTATAGCATCGCTTTCCGATTCCTCCAATCTTCGCTTAAGATTGGATCTGATGGGTTTGAAATCCTGTTTCTCCTGGGCTTCTGGCTCGGGTTCTTTCTCGGCAGGAACTTTCGGCAAGGCGGATGTTTCGCTACCTAGTCCAGAATCAGAGCCACCATCTCTTAGCTCATCTTCCTTCCTTTTAATTGGCTTGGCAGGCTCCAATGATTCCTGGTTGGTGGATGCAACCTCTCCCGAACTGGTAGCTATTTCCGTTTCGTTGCTCAACTTTAGCCAGAGCAGCTCGCCACTGGTGTCCATCTCCTCGTTTGTGGTGACCGACGAGGAGTCCAGTATGTTGTCAATTGCCAGCGGATCCTCGGACACGGCATCGGAGGCTATCGACGAGTTGAGTTCCGCTTCGCTGAGTACGATAATCTCGTTGTTCGGATAATTCTCCAGCTCGAGGAACTGCTCCTCCAGTTCGGCGTCTGCGGGACCTTGTGCGAAATCCGCCAGTTCGTCGTCCAGTTGTTCCAGTGGCAAAGGTATGGAGGCCATCGCCTTGGCCTTGGCCGCATGCACCTTGGTTGCATCAATTATGGAGGTCTTGATCAGCCTTTCGATGTCGTCCTCTTCGTCGTCCAGTTGGGGAGGGATTTCCTGCGGTTGCATCTGCTCCTCCACCGCCGCCTCCTCCTGATTCTGCCGCTCATCTTCCTGATTCTTCTTTCTGTCGCCTTCGTCGTGGGCATTTATGCTGGGAGCCGCCGCTCTTTGGCCGGCTGTTGTGTTTCCAGATGATGGGCTAAACATATTGGAGCCGCTCGCATTTTTTTGTATGTACGTAAATATCTTTTTGATAGGACTGAACATGCTATCCGTGTCGAGGTCCCTGAAACTGGGCCCAAAAAGCAATTGGTCTTCCTAGATCTTCGAGTTTCCTTTGGTCATCATCTGCAAATAAGTAGGGAAATTGTTTTAAATAATGTGGCAGAACAAAGTCCTTAAAAGGTAGCGAAAAATTGTAGATCAGGTGTGTATATACAGTGCTCTCTCTTGGGAGTGAACACTCTAGAATGTGAACTCCTTTGTATGAAGGTAATATAATCTTCTTTTTCCAAATCTAGACCAAAATGAGTTAATTAAATCATGTCCATTGTATTTCAAGATATTGGCTATTCGTACATATTTATGTAAATAATGATAAATCAAGAAGAATTCAGCTTTTTTCATGCAAGATTTTATAACAAAACTATATATTGTTTGAAAACTAGATAAATGAATATAATTTGTTTTACTTTAATATAATATTAAAGTGTTTTAAAATATTTGTGTGACATTTATTACACCTCAAAAACAACTATATTATTAAAAATCACAATGTTGGTCATCAATAGAAAATATTTTTATCTGTGTACGTGTAATGGTTTAAACATATGTATGTATATCCATTAATTTTTCCATTCACTCTTTTTAAGTTTACTATTTTTAGCGAATACAAATTTTGCTAAGGCGTGCGCGTGCAGAATCCTTTGAAATCCTGGATCCAGGAGAATTTCGCACACAACAAAAACCACAACCGAAAAGTAGACACACCAAGAACTAAAATCAATATTGATTAGCTGATTTTTAGGGGCCCACCTTTGCGGCTATATATCTGCTTTGAAAGAAACGAAAGGACTTGCGAGATCGGTAAGGATTATCCTTTTTGGAATTTGCGTTGCAGCTGCGACAAAAAAAATGAGAGCGAGAGAGATGACGAAAGGCGCAACTGTGTGAGTTGTGTGCGGAACGCTGCTAGTGTGTGCGTGCAGGAGGCGAACCAGGACGCGAGCGTATTTCCAATATTTATCAAAAACCAGTTTTCTCACACATACAAGTAATCACTTTTCTCTTTAGCTTTATTTCCAAACGGAAATCATAAACTAAATTTTATAGATTTGCACTTTTTCACCTTTTTTCTCACTTTTTTCTCGCAATGTTATTACTTCCATTCAGTGTGACCGCGACGAGATCACTGAATTATACCAAAGGACTCTCGCAAATGTACCCAAATATACCGGAAACATACCTTAAATATACCAACGAGAAAGTCGATATGAGCTTAGTTCCCTTTGGTGGCATTATATAATAGATTTTTAGCCATGACCTAATCCTTTGGGATGGCTTTTAACAGAAATATGCGGTCGTGGGCCCGTTGCTCTACTGTTAGACAAAATACTAGATCTCAACACTCGTACGTAATAAATGGAAAATTGTTTTGAGAAGCAAGTAAAGTTTATTTTAAATGCAACAAATGACTTGTTCTAAAAAACAATAAATCCAAAAACTAGGCTTCATTTAATTAACTTTTATTAAGTTCTTTGAGCTTTCTAAAGATGAAATCCTAAAGTGACGTCAGAGTCTTAATGAAAATACTGCAAATTAAATCAGAGATAAAAAATAGAATTTTGTAAAAATATGTTTTAATTTGTTCATTTTCCTTGAAAAATTAAGCCATCCATTACTTGACACTTTCACTAAATAAAAGTTTATTCAATTTAAACATTTTAATGACAGAAAGGGTGTTGAAAAGGTAATTTAGCTTACAAATTTTACGGGGTTATTTACAGTTAAAGATTTTGGAGTTTAGCAAAGTCACTTCTATTTAATCCATTTTTTGTGGGGAGGAATCACGAGTTACATAAATTTCAACAATTGCGGTAGACGATTTCCTTAGATGATTGAACAAATGTGATAAGGATGGAAATGAACAATTTTGAAAGCAGCTTTGCCAAATATAATCATTGTTTTTTTTGACCGGCTGATCAGCTGATATATAGATAATGCGCCTATAATGTCTGAGAATGTGATGGTGAGACAATAAGCAGTAGGCAGCTTCTATGTAAGATTTTATTTTTTGTAAATTCTTAGCTTGTTCTATAACCCACAATTTTATTTAGAAGAATAATATAATTAATTTTTTATTGAATATTTAACATTTAATGTTACATTTTTAAATTCGGTCACATTTTGATCGAAAAATCGATAGAAATCTGGGATTGGTTTGAGTCCAAGGAAATCACAATCATAGTGATCTAAAAATCTACCGCAGTTTTCCACCGCTCCCAACCATCCTTCGGTCATATTTGGTATATTTCCCAGAGTGCTGTGGTATATTTTAACGGGCGTGCCGCGGTCACACAGATAAAAATTGCAAGTTGTAAGTTAAGTTTACCAATAAAGCACGCAAATTAATTACCCAGAGCAGTGATAAAGAAAATAAAAACAAAAAAGCCCTAACGAAAAAGAGGAAAATCTTCAACAACGCCCCACAGCGGTGACGTCGCCCTGGAAATCTACAAAAACAAGAGTTGCAAAGAAACTCCGAGAGGCGAGTCGTCAGTCGCTGTCTATCTCCCTCTGCGCTCGTTTCGTTTCGGTTTTGGGGCTGTTTTGGGGCACACAAATTAAGAAAAACGTAAATGCAAATAGTTTTGTGGTAGTAAACTAAAAAGCCTTTTTAAAAAGTGCGTTAATCGGCGGGCTGTCGAGTGCTTTGTGCTGTTGTTTTCGCCACCCGTAATTAATTAAGAAAGTTGTGTAAAATTTTTTATTCGCCCCGTCCGCCATAATGCTGGTGTAAGAGCAAGCGCGATAGATGGCCCTGAATTTTTTGGGTGCGTTACCCAAGAGAGCGGGCGCCAGAGCGAGACAGCCATATGACGTGCTCCAAGTGCAGCGTGCACAGTGGGTCGCTAAGACTTAAATAGTGCTCGCTTCTCATTGTTGAAAGAATTTGCAGGTGCACTCTGAATGGAATAATGCTGATCGTTTCAGATCGGTCCCCATTATCACTTTATTTATTAGGGCTTTAACTGTCTGAATGGAGAGAAAATTGCCCTTCTTTGTTCAGCTTGTTTTGCGTCTTAATTATTAAGAGTGCGGGTGCCTGCGTGTGTGTGTGTGTGTGTGTGTGTGTATTTATCTCCAATCCGTTTCTTATCGTACCAGTCTCTACAAAAAAAACTCCCTCTGCTCTTCGTCTCTCATGTTTTCCTTATGCCAAAATGTAAACAAAATCGCTTATTTTATTTGTTCGCTTTTTTACATTTGTTTATTTTAGACTTTTTGCTCATTGTGCAAATTAGAGAAGTGTGATTGTCATACAATACATATGAACCAGTGGTATGCGTGACTGTTAATATAACCCTAATTGTATTCTCTGCTTTTTTAAGCGTGCTGAGAAAATGTTGAGAAAATTGCACTTGTTGACTTTTCCAGTGAGGCAATCCCACAGTCGGTGGCACAAAAATAGGGAGGCATGATGACTTATCTATTGGTAGTTTTTCAATATATGTGACATTTAAATTGTAATAACATAATAATTGGTAACAGATTAAAATTGTGTGCTTTTTATGTTACTTCTAAAAAGTATTTAATTAAAACTCCTCATTTGTGGTACCTAATTAGTTGTCCATTGTTGTGACTTCGTGGTATTGTTGTAGTTATCGGTCTTATTCTCTCTTTTGATTCGCTTGTATTTGTAAGTGAATGACGCATCGTCAGCTGTTCTAAACGAACCGTAATTTCCTGAACCCATCGTTGAACGTTGTTTTATATTTTATTGAATTTTCCCCAGAACGGGGCGAAGGCCAGTTTTATCGGTTAAGTTAAAGGCTAAAATACAGTATTAATAAAAGATAACTAAAATTATATATTTTCCGGTAAGGTAATTTCTGACAGCTGCCCTTCAAAAAAATTTCCATTAGTTTATTGAAACGCAGCTTGTTTTAATTTAATTTAAAATCCTGTTTTCTTGTGTGGACGCACTGAAATGCAAAATACGTCATTCGGTGAACAACAAAAAGTAATAGTAGGCGAAATTTCTTTATCGCAAGTGAGAGAGCAGTTTTAAAAAGGAGAGCCAATTTGCCGCTTGAATATGTGTGTGTGACTGTGCACTTTGCTCCAAAAGTCGCTGTACAAAAACAATACAAGTGGTTGGGAAGGAGAGGGGGAACAAACAATTGTTGACTGACTGCATATTTTGCTCTCACTCCCTCGTTAATTTAATAACGCCGCACAGCAACAACTACATGTTTGTTACGCTTTTACTTTCTCCGCTTCTCGCTCTTAATTTATTTTGCATTGATTTTTGTCTCAGCTTCCGCCCTCGCTCTTCCTCTCTTCGTTCATTTCTCTCCACGAAATAAAAAAAAGATTTGAGTCGAATTCCATCCCCCGATCTTTGTAGATTTAACTCCACGTCAATGTGTTAATTAATAACGTCTGATAACTCTGAGATCCCCAACGTCTGTCATAAAAAAAGTTATAGTGCTTCAACTTTCTAAAGTAAATGAATATTGAATAATACCATTATTTAATGTTTTTTTCGGTTTCCACCTAAAAAAAAAAATTCGGATTGGAATTTATGTCAAGATATAAAACTCAACAAGTTTCGATTTAGTTACAATTATGCAAAAACACTTCCAGATCGAAATCTCTAGAGAGTTGTCTCATTTCAGAAAAGTCCAGGCAGTAATGTGGCGTATGATTCATGAGAGTTCCACTGATAAGAGAGATTGTAAAAGCCACACGCATTTTCACTGAATAATTCGAGGCGTCCTCTATATACATATATAATAACTACATATTGTACATTTGTAAATAAACTGCCCTCGAAAAAGTTTTATCAGAAATTGTGTACACTATCTAGTTTGTAGTAGTCCCAAAGGAGCTGCAATAAATATTTTAGGGGTATTACGATAACTTCGATTTTACGTACCAAGACCGATAAGAAATTTATATATTTATTTAATTGTAAACCTCTAGGAAAATGACGAAGAAAGGAGAACAATAATTGCGCCTAAACAACATTTTTAAGGTTTCCCATTTGTGTTTGCCAAAGTATTTTTAGTTGTTGCTGCATTTGTTTTTGCACATGCATTTAACTATGTTTGTGTTTGTGAGTGTTTGAAGCTGACACGCACGCAATTTTCTAAACACATTTCTTGACATTTAAAAAATCTAGTTGCGGATTTTTACTCTGCCAGAAACATAGAATTGCTTATCGCAAAGTGTTCAGTAATATTATGTTGCTAAGGGACACAAGTGATATTGAATTGTTATTGTTGCCTTGTAAAAATTATGGGAATTAAGTATTTGTTATACAAATGAAATTTTTGTAGGGCGTTTTGCTCTCCATTTCAATAGGATTTAGCGATTATCATTAGCTGGCGTTCTTTATTTCCTCAGTTTTCTGCATTACCCGATGGATGATGGCGGTATTTTGTCCATATGGTTAGACATATTGAATTAAATTTATTGGGCTTGTCGGTAGCGTCATTAAACAAACGAAGGCGCCACTCTGTCCACTTACGTATTAATATGTATACATATGTGCAACATGTAAAAATGTTTCAGAATTTAAGCTCTGGAAAAGAATTACTTTTTTTTACCCACTGTTATAATGATTTATGTAAACATATGTATGTTCTTTAGATTCAGGAATTTATATCATCTTTTTATTTTTTATGAATGTTTAATGAACATTATTTTTCTTTTAGATTCCTCGTCAACACACACCAGCAATCTTTTCGTAAAGCTTACTCAGCAGAGGAAGCGATTTGCAGTAACCGTCCGTAGAACCTATCATCAGTTGCCATCTCAGAGGAGGAACATCGCATCCGATCCAATCCGAACCGATAATGGCAACCACACCACGCAGCGGCGGTGCCAGCGGCACTGGAGCGGCGCAGCGACCCAATGGCACCTCGCAGAACAAAAGTTGCCAATTCAAACTGGTGCTCCTCGGGGAATCCGCCGTGGGCAAGTCATCCCTGGTGCTGCGCTTCGTCAAGGGACAGTTCCACGAGTACCAGGAGAGCACGATAGGTGCGGCCTTTTTGACACAGACCATTTGCATAGAGGACACCGTCGTCAAGTTCGAGATCTGGGACACGGCTGGCCAAGAGCGGTAATTTTCGGGGAATAACCCTTTTACCACATCAATTATTTTTTTTTTAATAGTTGTAAACTTTAAAGGGGCTTCGAGGGCAGAAGTTTTTTCAATATTTATATGATTCAGATTTTGTCGAGTGCTTTACTAAGTCATACCTCCATTTCTATTTACAGTTACCACAGCTTAGCTCCCATGTATTATCGTGGAGCGCAGGCCGCTATCGTCGTCTATGATATACAGAATCAAGACAGTTTTCAGCGTGCGAAGACTTGGGTCAAGGAACTGCATAAACAAGTGAGTGTCATCACCGAGCCCACTCTTCATTTTTTCCGCTGTTCCGCTTCCACCATCAAGGTCAATGCTATCTCGTAGAGAGCGTTTCATTATTGAATGAATGTAAATTCTCTTTGTTGTGGCTTATTAAGCGGTGCATTGAACTTGTTTCGACATTGATTCACACCCCATTGCATTTATTTATATTCCTTCGCCAAGGCGAATTATTTATATAAATTATAGAACTTATAAACAAACTAATGTGTTTAATATTCCGTTCTTTTCAGGCCTCACCAAACATTGTCATTGCGCTGGCCGGAAACAAGGCGGATCTGTCAAACATTCGCGTCGTGGAGTTCGATGAAGCGAAGCAATATGCCGAGGAGAACGGCTTGCTGTTCATGGAAACGTCCGCTAAGACGGGCATGAATGTCAACGACATCTTCTTGGCCATTGGTAGGCTATTAATGACCGCATAAGCAAACAAGAAACTTTTCTAATCATTTTCCTAATTACAGCCAAGAAACTACCTAAGAACGATGGCGCCAACAATCAGGGAACCAGCATAAGGCCGAATGGGAACGAAACAAATAGACCGACGAACAACTGCTGCAAGTGATGTCCCTTTGTAGGTTAGTTTATTGCAATCGAATGTTTTATTTGTTACAAACTTACGTTTTTTTTTCTAGAAAATGAAATTTCCAACGAGAGATTTGAAAAGTTTATGCTGATAATTATAAATAAAAAAATTATTTAAAAATTTAACAGAATCCGAAAAAATACCTACAGACGGCTCTCCCAGGGGGCAGTAACTTCATTGAAGAGCCACAAAAACAATAATGATAAAGACCGCATAATAATAATTATAAACTAAATAATATGGACTCCCCATCCCCAACACAAGCGAAAGTTGCAATTGAAGAAAGTTAGTTAAATCCCCACACCTAAATTTCATTAGACTCGATATCTGTCCAAAAACAAAACTGACACGCCCCCGCAATTGAGCTAAACTATCAGTATAATACCAACATAAACCATTTCAAATAACAACGTAAAAATAATATAACTTGAAGAGAAAGCGCAGAAGGTTTTTTGCAGAGTTCATCGTGTCGTAGAAAGTTTGAAATTGTATTGTATAAAAAAAAAGAAAAAACAAGAAACCATCTAAGTGAGCAAAGAATATTTGTAAAGTTTACATTTCGTGTAAGTTTCTGAGCGAATTAAGAGAGGGGAAGATTCCAGTTGCAGTTGTTCTCAGCAGCGTTCCAAATAAAACAAACAAACACCACAAGGAGCAAAAGTTCAGGCCAGCGGCTGAAGATCCTCGCTCGCCTAGGTCTGTGGCAATGTGTGTGTCGCTCCGGCTCCAAAGCACGGATTCCGGATGCGGATTCGACTTCGGGTCGCCGTGGACACGTGTGATAGTTGCAATTTATATAAATTATATATACACATATGAAAAAGAAAACAAAATCCAAAAAAAAAAAACAAATTATGCATAATTTAAATTTTTTTAATTTCGTCTTGCGTTGAACTATTTTTCCACATTCTAGCAACAATCGAAGATTTAATGCTACTATCTTTAAACATAAACGAGAAAGAAGAAACTATCGTAAACCATAAAAATTAAACTTACATCTAGTATGCAATTAAGCTGAGGAAGTAAAGTGAAATCTTAAACATAAACCTTGAAATACTTTACCATAATGCGAAAAAACAAACGTAAATAAAACGAAACGAACAACACAATACCATAAACAATTTGTTTAAATCGTTCCACAAACATCTATGATTTGATCTACAATTGTATTGCAAGCGATCAAAAGCTGATCAAATCCGATGAATATTTCTTTCCCATTTATAATTTTTATGTTGTCTGTATGTATTTAAATTTAACATTTATAAATTATAATAAATGAAAACATCATATATACTTATATATATATATGAATCCGTATATATATAAAGTCATTCCATTTGAATCGAGAATGAGCCGGCATTCGTATTTAAATTGTGGGGTTTCACAGATCTTCATAAATGATAAATAAGGTATATTTATGGTTTGAACAATCAATAAGGAGTTAGTTTCTCTGCCGAGTTTAATAGCTAGTTGAGTTTCAAACTAAAAATATGTTGGATGATGATTTAATAGTCATCAAGCCTGTAGGGCGAGCTATAAATTCTCAATGGTGGATTCGCTTAATTAGTCAAGTGTCGAAGCTCTTTCAAATAGGTTCGCTTAAATATGGAGCCCGTCTTTTGTTTTGAAGTGGTCCTTTTAGGTAATTCCAACGTTGGCAAATCATCTCTTCTGTCGTGCTACGTAAATGGCATAAATCCTAAACAAATCCAACACACTGCGGGAGTGGAGTTCCTGGTAAAAACTATTGCCGAACCATGCGGAAATATCAGACTAAAGATTTGGGATACTGCGGGTCTTGAACGGTGAGTATTATAAATATAAGATAAACAATTCATGATATAATTTTTTTAAAAGGTTTTTTCCTTGTTTTCATAATTAAAAATATCGCTACTTTAATATGCGGTTTCTTAACGCTCTGCATCAAATGTTATTTTTCAATTACATCTCCTTAACTGCGAATATATTTATTTACTATGAATTTTAATTAGATATAAGCATATAGTGCAAAGTCTCTATACAAACCATGATGGTGCCCTGCTGGTATACGACATTCACGATCGGAAGAGCTACAATGATGTTTTAAATTGGGCTAAGGAACTCAATGATTGGGTTTGTCTTAAATTGGTCAATTTGCCTCACAAAATTATACAATTTCTATAACTTCTAGACCCAGAAACCAAGGAAAGTTATAGCTTTAGTGGGCAACAAGGCTGATTTATCTGCTAATAGAGTTGTGTCCACCGAAGAGGCAGAAAAATATGCCGAGAGAAACGGATTAATCTTCTGGGAAACATCCGCAACCACCGACTTAAATGTCAGCAAATGCTTTTTGGAAGTTGGTTAGTTAAAAAGTGAATATTTAATTGTCTTTAATAACTCGGACTGCTTTTTTTCAGCTATTGCTATTAGAAATGCAAAAACATTACTCAAGCACAATCGTTCATCTTGGTATTTGTAATTTTGTGAATAATAATATAAGGAATGTCAAACAGCTCTTATTTGTTACTCATCTCAATATTAACTTATTTAGATATAAAACAAAAATAAAATTAGAATAATTTGGTGTCTGTCGATAGATTTTTGTTAAATAAGTTGTTACGTTATACCTTGATTGCTAAAGCTTAGCCCAAAACTTCTTTCTTATGTTAAAGTCATAACTAATTTATAATTTAAACATTAAGTAATGTAATGATTAGAGAAATATTAGAGAAATGTTAGAGCAATTGTCCAGTACCCACAATAAAACAAGATTAATCCTTTAATTTTATTAACCTTTTCTAATTCCCATTTGTTTTCTTTTTATTTAAAATTATAGCTGATTAAGATGTCTCTCGAAATAAATACATACTTAACTTACTGTTTTGGTTACAATTTTCATTTGGTTTCGTATTGTATAAGTATTGTATATATATTTTTGTTTGTTTGTATCTTTCTCGCTACTTGGTTTCCCATTTATAAGAATAATTATATTGTATGACTAGCATAGATTTTCCGTATGCGTCTTGATTTGCTGTTAGAATAGTCGATTTCGATTTTGAGTTAGTTCTTCAAGATAAATCATAGAGAGTACACGCTAACTTACTACAAGGCAACTAAATGGCTTCAATCAGGAGATTTTTATGCTATAATAACGTACATAGATAACAGGGAGACAAAATCGACCTAACTAAATTAAATTTTAAAATATAACAACTAAAAATGGCAGAAAATCGTTAAGGGCAGTTTTCGTAGATAGTTGAGTATTGAAATTCGGAGAAATAAGGTAAAATTCGATCGAAAAGTTTTGTTTTGTAATTATCTAACACAAATGCTTACGATTGCATAACAAAAGGTTGGCTCAACAAAAACAATATACATTCAAATAAGTTAAGATTCATTTAGGATAGATTATCCATAATCGTTATTCCACTTGAAATATCACTTAAGTAAGAGAAGTTTATATCGGTATCTGGTATCGGTATTTTCTAGATTTAGATCCTAGTCTAAAATTTTGTCTTAGTTTTTCTTTTGGTATTGTTTTGATAAACCAGTTAATTTGTTGTTTGTTTCCATGGTTTTAAGTCTAAACATTGTCTTTTTTTTGTTTTTCATTTATTTCTATAAAATTTACAAAATTACGTTTCATTTCTTGTATTTTATTCGTCTGTCTTTTTTTTATCGATAGCTTTGCCCAAAAACTGTGTGTATATGTTGATTCCGGGAGGGGATTTCCCCCAATTTCCTATATAAACTCGCTTATCACTTAGCTTATAAGTTAGTTCTCTCTATATATCGCGTCGTCAATTAGCTCCTCATGAAAATTGCTAATCTTGAAAGTTCAAGCTGATCGAAATTTTCTACAGATTCGTAACTCCGATTTTGCTGTTTTTTGATTTTGTTTCCTATACAATGAGCGGCTCATCGCCGTGAAGATCACAGGATCCGATATTCTCGCCCTGGTACGTCGAAAAATCGCTGATAATCGCTGTGGGTTCGGCACCGAACTGGATGTCCTGCAGGCATCCCTTGAAAGGATCGAAGAACCGGCCTTTTGTGCGCCTGCTCACCGAGTCCGAGTTGGGGAAGCCACCTGTTTTGATTAAAGATAATAAAATACACTCGCATCAATTTGAATTTAAATTTAAATAGTAGTGTTGGGTAAAGAGCACTCTGGAAAGCTTTGCTGTACAGCATACTGTTAGAGGTGGGAAAACATCGATTTTAGCATCATTAGCAGAGACAAATACGTTATCCATAGCGGAGACTTACTGCGCAGGTGCAGCGGAACAATTTTAACATTTCTGTTAAGACCGATAAATTTTAACATTTAGTAAATCGATGTTAGCATCGATGTTTGCCCACCTCTAATCGCGACTATTCAACAGGTGAACAACAAGAGTTTCCAATAAAGTTGTTGCGTTTGTTTATGTTTTAAATTTTGGAAAAAGTGCGTGATAGGTGTTGTTTATAGTGATTGCCAAAGTGATAGCTGAATGAAAGTGATTGGATCAGTGGTAAGAGTTTCATCTTCCAGGTTCTAAGCATGTAACCTTTTTTTTGGTAATTGTTTATGTTTTTGAGTGTGTAATCTTTAATTTAGAGTTTATATTCAGCGAAGTGTTGGGATTGTTAGCAGTGCAAATAAATATTATCTTTAATGATAGTCGTAATTAAGAAAGCAGTAATTATTGTAAAATACACAAACAGCCGATCATCAGAATTAATTTAATATTTAAAATATTTTGGAGACATTCTAAGAACAAAAAACCCAGTCGTTTACATACAAATATACTCTTATCATCTTAAACTTTTTGTTTTCAATGATATTTTTTTTCTTAATTACTTTAGCAATAAAGCTTTTTTTATCTAATAATTCATGGTCATGTATAACTTTAAATAACTTATAGGTTCTGTTAAAAAACATGCTAATGGTGTGATCCTAAAATACAATATTCGGTACTATGCGAAAATATATAATATTCAACTATGTGGAAAATATATTTTCGGATAACTTAGTAACTCACCCAAGTAGAAGACATCCTCGTAGCTGATTGTTGGCTCCTTGCTGGCATTTTTGCGCCTGCCCACCAGAGTTGTTCGCGGAGTGGTCGAGGCCATAGGTGGTCTTCCGTTCTCGGGCAATCTCTCCGTGAAGATCACCTCGCCATCCAGCTGGAGTTCCAGCCTCGATCGATCCAGCAGCACACTCGTCCAGTGCCAAGCGCCATCGGCTATAAATCCGCTGGCCGGGGCCCTCACCGTGTCGTTGGCACTGCCCAGTAGATTGCTGGCCAACTTCAGGTGACCCGCCTCCAAGCCCAAGCCCAGGAACTTGCTCCTCTCGTGCTCGCTCCACAGGAGCAGTCCGTCCGGTTCGATGGTGGAGAAGTTCAGCGAAACTTGGATGGCTTCGCGGGGGCGGACATAGAGCGAGGGTCCCCGTCGCTTGTCTTTCATTGGAATTCGCGGCGGCGGCAAGATCAGGTAACTGTTGCCACGGAAGCTCGGCGTGGTCGGCTTGCTCATGGCTGGAAAATCAGAAAAAAAATATACAAAATATATTATATGGCGGCGGGGGAAAAGGGGAAGCACACACGACGAGCGTTGCATTAAACATATTGCATGCGGTACATAATTAAATTACAGCATCAGCTTGCCGCTCCAGCTGCATTGTTCGTCTTCGTCTTTTGCTTCGCTTTATGAATCTTCATCTTTAGACCCTGATCTCGTTTATATGCCTACCATCATTTGCCACTTAGACTTGCTCAATCTTTTTCTTTCTGAACTACTTACTGGGTTTCTTATAACTACTTACAAAGTACTACCATTGTTTCTAATAATCAAATCATTTTAAAACATTTTCCAATTTTCATTTTTAAATTTAACGTTTTTTAGTAAATAATTTTAAGTAACACATTAAAATTACTTATTTTTTTCTGTGTGTATCATTTTTATTTCCAATTTTACTTCCATTTGTCAGCATTTTCTTCAACTTCCCTAGCTTTCCAGTTTTTTTTTCTCGTTATGATTCATCTTGAGAACCTGAACTCGAGGCAAAGATTAATCTTTATTATCGTGTGGTTATTAATTTTCTTTACAATTCCTCTCACTTTTCTCTATTTCTTTTTTCTTCATAAAGCATCTTGTCACACTTGTCTATCATGTTTGTACCTATGTTTCGGGGTCATCGCTTTACCTAATTCTTATTTTTCGTTAGTCTATCTTCAACGTTTTGCCTATATTTCTTATCTAATAATTATTCCTTCACCGACTTGCGTTTTTTTTTTAATTTTAACTTTAACTTGCTTTTGTGGCATGTTAATTTACAATTTGCTAATAAGTGAAAGGCAAACAGCTGAATCCCCACATATAACATCCGATGGATAAAGAAAAAAAACGCATCTGCCGATTTCATATAATCAAAAAGCTTGTTTTGCAGATGCTTGATTGATGTTTCGGTTAGTGTCATTATTATTTTGAATAATGTTGCATTTATGAGGGGGCAATAAAATATTGAAATTACTGATTGGGTAATTAAAAATGTCTGTGAAAGTTTATAGAAGCAGTTATACTAAGCAGTTGTTAAATTATAAAAGAATATTAAAACACTGCCAAGATTGTTTGAATACATTAATTCTTTTAATTATATTTTTCTAAATATGGATATATTTATTTGTTATAATATAAATAAATATTCTTCTTTGAAACAACTATGCAAATTTGTTTTGAAAAAAAACGAGAGCATTCAACTTTGAGTCATGACAAGTTTTAATTATTCTCCATCTCTATTAACATTCGGATTTGTAGTGCTCATTTTGTGGGCAGTTATTGCCTTTGTTGTGAATCACAGATCGCTAATTTCAGTGTTGTTTTTTTTGGCCAACCAACTTCCTGACCCCGCTATGCACTGAACCATCCAGAATCCAAATGCCGCCGTTAATGGTTATTTTCTGTTGCCGTCAATCTCTAATTATAATAATAATGTTGTTCTACTCTGCGGCTCCGAAACTTGTTTGCCCCAAAACTCCGCAGAACAAAACACACAAAGAGATCATAAAAAAATAACAATAAAATAATTTTAGCTTCTGTAGGAATTGCGAAAACAAACTTTTACTCGTGACACATTTTCGAGAATTGAACTTGAAGCTGCGCGAAGATTTATGAAACTTGTTTTCCTCGTCATTAGTATGATTTATTGCTACTGTAACTAAAACACTTATTTTTTGGAAACTCACTGAATCATAAGCTGCACCCAATAGGCTTACGGTTATTGACCTTTCGGTTACTTTGTTATATTCTTTTTGGGCACTTACCAATCTCACAGTAGAAGCCTCCCCAGCCATTTGGACACGAACAGCGCCCACTTCTTAGGCATCTTCCATTATTTTTGCACGGAATGAGCTTGCATGTCTCCGAATATTCGCAGCGATCTCCTTTTGCATATTCCGGGCAGATGCAGTGCGGTTGCAGCTTCTCATCCAGCCAACAATGTCCTCCAGATTCGCAGGAATCTCCGCCACAGGCGGTGCCATCACAGTCTCGAATATTGCGCGATTCTATGGGTTGAATAAAAAAAATATATTTATTTATTCAGACAACTTAATCAATTAGTTATAAACTTGCAACCGTTAAAAATTAAATAGATATTGAATAAATAACTTTTATTATTTGTGTACTTTGCTTTTTCGATACTATAAAGTATATGTATTCTTTATTATTATGTCCGTCTGTCCGTTTTTACAAAATATCAACAACTGATAATTAAATCTTTTCCCCTAAAGGTTGCAAAACATGTTTCCCAAAAATCTATCATTAAATGTAATGCTTAATTTTTGAGAGTGATAATTTTAAGTATATTTTTTTAAGTATATATTTAAACTGGATCAATATCAGTTTAAGTTAAAGTTTAAGTTTACGCACCCACAATGTTGGTTTCGTTGAGCACAATGCGAGTTCCACTGACCACCAATCCGCGGACACATCCTCTGAATGGAATGGGGAATCCAGAGATGGCGTTGTGCGGCAGCTTGGACACATCCTTCAGTCCGCCAATGTAGAGCAGGGAGTCCGGTTCGACCAGGACCTCGGCCGAAGGGGCCAAGGCCGATGAGGCGCTGCCCTCCACCCATAAGGTCAGCCATCTGCCCCGCTGCGCCATCTTGATCTTGTGCCACTCGCCGATGGCCAACATCCGGACACTCCGCACCACCGTCACATGAGTACTTGGCCCTGAGATCCTGAACTCCACCACACCACCTTGCAGGGATAGGGATACGAAGCCAATCTTCTTGTCTTGATTGTTGTTGAGGGTGCCAAAGTATAAAAGCAATCCTCTTTCCGAGAGCGGACGCAGTTGGAACTCGATAAAGAAGAACTGTACTCGGTGGTGCTCCTCAAATGTCTTCGATCCCATTAAAGGAACTGGCGAGAAACTCCTCTGTTTTTCCACCTCGTTCAGCAGTTTCATTACAAAGTGGGTGCTGGGCGTGGTTATCGGTTTCGGGGGCATTAGCTTCTTGGTGAAGTTCCGGTAGCTGACCATTTGGGAACGCTTGGCACCCAGTTTATCACCGCCATCATATAAATATGGCCAGCGAACCGCCAGATACGAACGTCTGCCAGTCAGGGATACATCGCTCAGGGAACGGATTTCTGAGGAATAAGGAGTATTTTAAAATTTATTTAATACTATCCAAAAATAGAGTCTTCTATTGATTTTTAATTAATTGTTTGCTTTATTATTGATTATGTATTATTTTAATATTATTTTATTGGGTAATTATTTAGTAATATTACAACTTACCCTCCTCGCAGTTTTTGCCCGTTCGTCCTACAGGACAGTCACATTCATAGCCATTGACCAGTGGCACACAAGTGGCGTCCTCGTAGCATTTGTTATTGAATGAGTCGCAGGGATTCGTGGGCTGGGCGCAGAGTGGACCATACCAGCCCTCCTGGCAGATGCAACTAGTTTCCATAAAAATTTAAAAATTAATTTATAATTCGAACAACTTGGAAAGTAGAGCTCACGTAAAGGTTGCTCCATGCTGCAGACAGGCGCCATCGTGCTGGCAGGCGTGGCGATGGCATTCCCTGGTTCCACATTGACCCACCCCGCGACCTCTGACCCCACGCGTCTCCTGCAGCGGAACAGTGACCTGACCCGCCTTCAACTGCACATCGTAGATGCATCCCTGAAATCCCGAGTGCAGTGGCAAATCGTGCGGTAGCGTATTGAAATTGGCTATTTCATGGCCTCCAAGATACAAAATAGGCAGCACATCCATACGACTGCCACTTCCGGGCGAACGACCCGTGATATTGAACTTTCCGTCCACCGAAAGCCACGCCTGTCGACCAATGCGTCCCACTTTGATTTCGTAGGGAACTCGCGGAGCATCCAGCCGGAAGTCAATGGGTTTCTGGGTGAAAATGCGACGAGGTCCAGCTCCCAAATTCCATGTGAGCATTATATATCCCTGGATAAAGCTCACCGCCAGGTGATCGCTCTTCTCGTCGTGATAGCCCGACTGGCCGAAGAAGGCCAGCAGGGAAATCTGCGACATGGTTTGCGGCAGGATCTTAAAGCTCAGCTCGAGGGAATACTCCAGGGGAATTGGTACCGTGTAGGCCACAAACGATGAGAGGCCATTAACACTGCCGGAGAACGAGGGCAGGGCCACTTCAAGATCTAGAAAAAATATAACATTTTAAATAAATATAAAGAAATTTTACCTTAATAACATGGTACATTAAGTTAACTTGTTTTATATGTCATTCTATGGTTTGTAGGAAATATATAAAAAAGGGACATAGACATGAGAAATGAATTCTTTGCATATTAATTTTGTTAACTTTTTTTGATATTCAGAAAACAATTTCATAACAAAAAACATTCAATATTATTTTAAAGCTAAGATTATCTTCTTGTATTTTGTAATTTGGATACTGTTTCTTTATTATCTAATCTTTAAATTTGTTTCCTTTTTAATTTCAGGATTGGATACCATTTGATTGCAAGAGCATTTAAAGTATAGGTAAGTTTTATCAAAGGAAGTCATGTTCGTGTGATAGAATCGTGTATTAGAATCATAACAATTTGCGTATAAGTACTTACTGTGCTCGCAGTAGTGACCGTGTTTGCCCAGCGGGCACAGGCAGAGATAGCCGCTGCCCGGAAATTGTACGCAGGTTCCACCGTATTGGCACGGGTTGTCCTCGCACACGGATATCTCGCAGGTGGGTCCCATGTATCCCGTGGGGCACTTGCACTTCCACTTCTCCGCCTTCTCGCCGTTCTCGTCAAGATCGTTGGTTTCGATCTTAATGCAGGCGGCGCCATTGCGGCAAGGACTCGATAGACAGGCCAGGGAACCGCATTCGGTAATGCCAAAGCCATCCAGGGCATCCCTACACGGAAAAATATTCACTGTTAGTGAGGATTTTATTTTTTTCCTTACAAAAATCTATGGTAGTTTCAAACTTCTAGAAAATATAACTACAAGCTGCTAAAAGTTTATCTATATTTCCGTTCAATTATAAACACAAATTGATCAGTAAATTTCCGTTTGATTTTGTGGAACATTTTTATTTGCTGTGTAGAATTAAGACAGGGCGATGAGTTAGGTGTCGCTGCTAATTTCATGAGCTGGGCTAATTCAACATGCCAATACCATGGACAGAGTGTCCTTTTCGCCATCCTTTTGCGTCATTTGACAAACAGCCCACAGCTGTCAGCGCTGTCGACACGGATGTGACCGCCCCTTTTGCACCACCCCCTGCCCATTTTCTGACCCGCTTTAGCCCCGCCCCCCTCTTCGTTTGGGCCATCTGTTTGTATTCGCGCTTTTATGAACGTTGCACACTGACGAATGGCTTCCGCATTCGCTGACTGGCTGTCCTCATCCCATCATCCCCATTCCACCTCCATTCGAGATGTCCTTTTCATCAAGTTGGCTGCATTTTCACTGGCAAATTTGGTAAGAGGCCATATTATATAAGCTTTTAGCATGGCTATTTCTTTTATGGTTAAGAAGTGACTTTAGTAAAGAAACTTTAAGTATACGGGAGCACGGACTTCGTTAAGAACTCTTAATGCATTTATGGAATTCACAAACAAGAATTGGAATGTTGAATTACAAATCGATAGAGAATAATGTAATCAATTTGGTTAATTGGAATGTGAAGTAATGATATTCGATTTTAGGTATATACATACGTTTTATTTCTAAAGTTAGAATTGAGAGTTAGAAAAACGTATTTTTTATAACTCATTTGAACTGCACTTCCGCTTTTTTTTCCCTATCTCAGTGGACACATGCGAGAGCTTTTAGTATATATGGGCTTTGGGTGAATTAGCCGTATGCCTGTAACCCGCGGTCATTTTCCGTTTTATCTCCGCACGTAAACAGAGTTAATTTTTTCATGTACCAACGAAATAAGTTCTTTACGTGGCCGTATATTCCGGCCTTTAATGCAACTCCTTCAAGGCTTTCACCACCTGCAACTTTGTGTGTCAGCATTTTGATGGTTTAATTTTATTCCCGCCCTTTCTTCGCCGTTTCGCCTTTGGGGATCCGGAAGAGTGTAAGCGGCATTACTATTTAAGAGGTGCCCCCGGCGGAGATACATGCGCCCACTCCCCTCGCCTTCGGCCCAAAAGAAGTCGTAACTTTTTGGGCGCTGTTCATTAGCCGTGGTCCAGCGTTCAAAGTGCCCAAAGGGCAAACAAACATGGAGAGTGGGAATGGACGATAGAGGGCACTGAGAAAAATATTCTTTTTGAAGTCCTAACTAATTACTAACTTAAAACTTTATTATTTATTGTGAAATATTTATCAGCAATAGATTGCTGATAATAAATTAGTGGCAGTTCCTAGAAAAATTATTTAAATTTAAATTAAAACGGTTAATGCTTTTATTCAAATATTTTAAGATTTAAATGTTAAAATAATTAACTAAGATTTCTTTTGAAAGTCTAATAAATATTATTTGATTTGCCATTATGCTCACTACTAATGGTTTTGTTTGATCATAATTGTATTCATCTTTCACCTTCGCTATATATTTTTATTGATATTGTACCAAAATCAATGCCCAATTATTTTGGGCTGTCACAGATTTATTTTTTCCTACTACCATCTAAGTGATTTCCATAATGCATTCCTAAGTGGCAAACTCACCCGAAAATCTCGCGACTCTGTCCGTTGATGCGCAGCGTATGGAGGCAGCCGGTGAAGCCGGTGCCGCTCTGGGCCGGCGGCAATTCGATAATCAGGCCAATCGGAGCCTGGGGCGCTCCGCCCAGGTGCAGCCAGGTGTTCAGTATCGCCTCGGGGGTGTGGAGGCGCGGGGGCAGCAGCTTCAGCCAGGTGGGCTGATCCCCGGACATGGCCAGCGTGTCGTTCACCAGCAGCGAGGCGTTGCAGTGTGTGTAATTCCGGCTGAAGTCCAATCTGCAAAAGGGACATTCGAGGCATTCCTTTAGCTCTTTTACTTTTTACCTTTTACTTCTTAATTTTTTTTCGGTACTCTATTGCATGAAATATTTAAAACGGCGCACTTTCTTTTTGGCGCGGGTGACACTCCCTGCATTCCCGACTTTCAGGGACGACTTTTGAGGAGAAATTCCCAACATGCCAATGCGTGAAAATATTTATGACACCACAATCACCCAACCTGCGTTGCGATTTCCCGTATCCACCCAAAAAAGGGTCCTGCCAGCAATCTGTTATCCATGGCTACCTTTTGCCTGGTGACCTTTCAACGTAGCCAACTTTTTCCAGACCCCATATTGCTTACAGTGGTTAAATTCTTTTTAAAAGTTTGCTGAGCGAGTTTAATAATAAGAGAAATAGGTAGATTTTTAATGGGGACTACTGAAAATTATTCAGAATTTATAATTTAATTTCTTTAAATTTTGCCAAATTTTTATCAACAAAATATTAGATGTGTTTTGTGTACGGTATTCAGACTTAAAGGACTGTATACTAATATGTTAAGCTCTTAAAATTAATCATGGAACTCGAATAATATCTATTCCCAATTTATGTTAATCACCCTTGAATCCAACCCACTGTCTCCTGGCCAGTTTCTTTTCCACTCAGCCCAACAATTGGTTGTAATGTCAATCGACTGTCAAATTTTTGTTTCGCCTGTCCCGCGATGGTATGGAATTTTTTACCGGCCCTTTGATGTGATGGAGGTAATGGCACAGGTTGGAGTTACTCGGAGAATTTCCCCCTTTTCCGAATGGGGCCACCAATTTTTATTGCCCCCCTTGGTCGAATGTCACCTGCTTTTATTTGAAAAGCCTTTGTTGTGAGGACTCATCTGCAGTATTTCTGATTTTATTTGTTGTCAGAAGAGTTTTCTCTTTTTGTTCGGTTTTGGGGTTGGACCATCTGTTTGCAGATGGACGAACTGGGATTCATATCTTCGCGTTTATTGCATTTGAATGTAGACGTTTTAATGCCAAAAAGCCAGTGCAATAAATGCCTGCAGAAGGACACATATTTTATTGTTATTTTATGAAGGCAGGAAAAGCTGTAAAAAGTTTCCCATATGCTGGCTAGATGGAAAAAGTTTTGCCTGATTGCATTTAGTTTTTACAACATATGTAAAATGTATTTGACGGTGATTTTCCTTTGTTTTCTTTAGTTTTGCTCTTTAGATTACAATGTTCGACGAATTACTCGGAAATTGTTTAAAATTTAAACCACCGTTCTACACAATGTTAAGCCTACGTGGCTTTAAACTTTAAAAGCCCATTAATTTGAGACTCTTTTAAATAGGCCAAATTAATTACCATTTATAGTTCCATTAATGAGCCAAAACCAAAAATCCGAACTTCCTTTCAATGCTATTTAAAGTTCAATTAGCTACATTTGACTGAACAACAAATTAAATTAGCATTGTTTACATTCAAGGGAGTTTATTTTTCTTGGGCGTGAGGCAGAGGCAAATCCTGTAACGTGCAACCTTATGTTGCACAGTATTGGACACAGATCTGACTTTGCGGGGCACGCTATAGTATCCGGCTCTAGCTCGTCGGCTTTGGGGGTGGAGGTCTTGCTAATTCAGATCTGGTACTTGCCTATTATTATTAATCGAAAATTGAGCGTGCTTGCGACGACGAAAGAAATTAAATCGTAGACAATGGAGAGAAACCGGGAGAAGGTAAATTAATTCCAGTAGAGAGATAGATTAAATTAAGAGAAAGAAAAAAGGAAAAGGAAAATTCAGTAAACGAGACGCCGATGTTGGTACGCCTGTGGCCCGCCCTACCTAAGATCACTAGATCCGATTTATAATTCGCGTGATCCCTTTAGATACCCTTACGACCGCATAATCATCAGCAGAGTTCTAGCCAAATAACTACTCCATGATTTCGTTTAAATCCATTTTTAATAATCTAAATTAAATTCTATGCCTAAGTTGTCAGAGCAACATTGAGTGTGCAAAGGCTTAAGTGAAATACAAGCGCAAACGTTAATAATAAAAGGGAATGAGAACTTCATAAAGATAAAGATAATAGTATAAGATAATCTTAAATTTTAATAAGGGCTTAATATATATAAAATATTTAAAAATTTCATTGTTTGTTCCATAGATAAGTTTTACTTAATATACAAAATATATATATATTTTCCATTATTTGGTTCTAAAGGTTGTATTTTTTTCTCAGTGTATTCATTTAATTTTATTTCCTTACTAGTATTATTATTTAATTATTTATTATTTTTAACTGTTCTTCTAATAATGAATCGCGTTCGGCTTTAGGACAACAAATGTTTTAATAATGTCCATAAAAAAAATCTACAATTTAATTCGCTTTCAACATGTTCTCTTTAACTTTTGTTTAACTATTTTATTAATCAATAAATTCGAATGCCGAGTATAAATTAACGACAGAATAAAAATTGTTTTGTAGTGACTCACTTGTATTCTCCACGACGAAAGATCGATCTCCCGAGCGGTGTCTGTAAAAGAATAGCGACTCTGGATCGCAATGGGTTAAATACATACAGAGCATTCACATGTTTTAGCCAACCAATTATTTGCTTAATTAACAATTTCCTAAAACCGAACCGTTACATGATTTCAATTTTATTCTTTCATTCGGTTCTACCTATTCCTATATTTTCTGTTCCTAAAATAATTTTATTTTTATTTAATATTTAATTTAATATTATTTCAAAATTTTCTCTCAGTGCACTCATCCGGAGTGTGTTAAATTTTAAAGATATTCGAACACTGTGCAAATTTAATTTCCTTTAAAATAATTAGAAAGCTGCGAATCCATGAGTTATTTGTCGCAGCACGGCGGCTCACTATTTGCGAGTGTATCGGTGATGGCAAACCTCATCTGCGGGTCCGCTTTCAGGCTCTCCCTAACCCCGTTGGGTATTTTCCATTCCACGTGATCGAGCCTTAACACTCGCGTTTTGGCCAAGTTAAACTTGGGCCCTGATCGGGACTCCTGGGGGACTACATATTCACTGTGCGCGATATAACTACATAGATGCTGCGGCTCTTGTTTGCTGCCTAATTAATTGCTGCTGCTGGCTGAGGCGGTTACAAAAGGAGCGGCTTTTCTGTCCGCTTAGATTAACTGAACACTCAGAGAACTTTAGGCCTTAGATTGCGATGTGAAACCGCTGATGCTTGGTTGTCCGCTGAGGGTGCTCCTGTGTACGCGGTGGGTGCTCCCGTAGACACGGTGGGCGACCGCGTGGCTGCAGGCACGGCTGCCGGAGGGTGCTCCTGGGGACGCGGTGGGTGCTCCCGTGGACGCGGTGGGCGACCGCGTGACTGCAAGTATGGCAGAAAAGGGGTGCTCCCGTAGACACTGTGGGTATCCGTCGATCTTCCGGTGTTCGCTGGGCGCGTCCCTCGATGCACTTGCTGCAGCCGCAGGTGGCCAATGCGGCTCGCTGATCCAGTAGGGTTCAAGAAAATGCCTGGATTGATTGCCGACAATATAAGCATATATCCCACTGGATTAACAAAACTTGTCTGCCTACCTTTTTGGGGACTTAGCGTGCTGCACTCGATTTTTAAAACTTGTGTCACTTTTTTTGGACTTAGCCTGCCGCACTCGAATTAAACGCGTGTGATCGCTTTGAAAACTTTATAAGAAAAGAACGTGGCCGGAATTCGGATGTGGGCCTGTAAAGTTGGCTGCGGTGCGGAAGCCGAGCTTTGTATTGCGACTCTGTTGCAGCTGACTTATGCCAGCTGACCTAATGCAGCTGCAGCTGAGGTCCACCAATTTTGGCAACGCTAAAGCTAAGTGCATATGTACCTATGTATTTATAGAGCCTACTTTCAGGATCACTACATATATACGTGGTCGTACAAACGCTTCAGGCGCTGTTACAATCCTTGAATATAATTTATTGACACGGCCAATTGAATGCTTTTGAAAAGTTCTTAGCTGCGGAAACTGCCAAAGAAAGCATCTCATCCTAATTAATGAACTTTATTCGAGAATTGTGTTAAGCGAATTCGAAATAATTAAAACGAAATTTCCGTCGAAAGCGCAAAGAAATGTAGCCGCAATTAGGCCCGACTAACGGTAATTGTTATTGCTTTCTAATTACACTAATTGTGCGCAACACCAGTTCGATGAAGGTCCTTAAGTAAAATGTCAATTGCGCCGGGCATTTGGCTCATTAGAGAGTGGGATTCGCCCACCACGGTTAGATTTCCCAGAAGGGGCTGGCCACTATAGTTCATCGAAGGTCCGACATCGTCATCATCGTCATCGAATGGCCCCCGGGCGAAAAAGTCCTTTGCTCCCTCTGCTCGGACGATTAAGCACGCAAGGCAAATAAAAATAGGCAACGAACATAAATTTGTTGCTCGTAAATCCACTTGCCAGACCAAAACACAAAAACAACACCCAACAAAGCGCAAGAAGGAAAGTAATATAATATAAATACACAGGGAAAAATTTTATCTGCAAATACTAAAACATTTGAAATATTTTTAAATAAAAATTATTATTTGATTTAAATCTGAGTAATAAAAGTGAATCTTATAAATGGTAAATAGATAAGTTATTAATTTGCAAAATTGATATTACTTAAATTGAAATTTTTTTTGTGGGAAGGCACCATTGTGTAAAGTACAAAGAATCCTTTTACGAAACTTTAAATGTTTGTTATATACTAGGTCTAAAATTTTTTTGATTGGATATTTACAAGTATGCCAAAAGGAATGATTGATAAACGTGTATAACTTGACCTTATTTTTTAATACTCTGATTTTCCTCTGTGCACGTATATATAGAACGAGAGAGCCCTTAACATCGGACATTGGATCGCCCCGAGCTGGGACCAAGTGCTAAAAAGTAAATTTGTGGTCGATTCGATAGTCGTAAAATGTGAATGTGTCCCCCTCACTGCCTCTCACTTTCACTCATTGTTCTCCCTGTGGTAAATTATTTATATGGGCAGCGTTCTCGCTCACTCTTTGTCCTACTTTTTGATATATATTTATTCCCTAATGTCCTGTTTATACCAACGTTTCGTCTATCCTTGATTCGCCGGGGGAATTCCATTTTCCCAGATTTACCACGGCCGCAGTACAGAATTATTCGCCTAAAACGATTATTTGGTCATTTTCCATATGCGTTTAACCCATCAGTTTGATGGCAATTTTTAGGTAATTGCTCACAGCTGAATTGTAAACAACCGATTTTCTTCATGGACAATTGAGTGATTGTTCCTTTTGATTTGCTGACAATTTGATGACGACCTAAGTGGTGGTAATTTGAATATGGCAGGACTATTTGAAGACCATTAACTCAACACGTTAAAAATTCTCAAGTGATTGATTTTATCAATCAACTATTTTTTCTTTTTCGAGAAAGAGCGAATTTTACGTTTATTCATTTATTAACTTTTACATTCTATAATTTTTAATGCTTCTAAATTTATTCGCCTTTTAACTTATATTTTCGCACATCTGATGCAACCAAAACTCATTTAAACTTTATTTTCCCATTTCGAATGTAATGGTGCTGCGATAATGAAAATATTTGAATAACTTTTAAATCGGTTTGCTCTTTTTCCTTACATTTGGCAAGTGTTGGCTTTGGCCAGGAAATGTTAGTTAAACGATTAATTACGCACGAGTCCGCCTCCTCATCCCGTTAGCGAAAATGCTCGGTGTGAGCATAGCAAATGCGGTAAATTAAATTTTCAACCAAGGAAAAATAAAGGAAGAGCCAACCAGAAAAAATCTCCAACTAATTACGCATGGATGGCAAACGGATGCCCCGCAGGATTTAATGTTCAAGGAAATGGGCGAGCGGAAATGGTAAGTGGAAGGCCAGCACAGAAGAGAAGCTAAAAAACTGCAATTTATTCTACACTTGAAGCATTATAATTTGTGGTCTCTGCGGACGAACGGAGGACGAAATGGGAATCCTCGCGGGCCACGTTTAATGGCCAATGTCCTGGCCGCCTGCTCCCTGACACTGACCCATATGCTGACCTCCACCTTGCCGCGTGCGCAGTTTAAAAAGTTAATTAACATGCCGACAGTCGTCGCCGCCCCTCTCAATCATCCGCAAGTTGAGGTTGGCTCACACTTACCAGCCTGCACTGGGAAAAATCGCATCTAATTAGAATTTGGTATCAAAGCTCTTTAAAAGATTGTGGGAAAGTCTAATATTTTAATGCTTTTTTATACCCGTTAATGAGTGTATTATAATTTCATTCAAAAGTTTGTACTGCAGTGAAGGAGATATTTATAACGAATATATCTTATTGATCAACATCGCCAGAAGAGTTGATCAGGTTGTCTGTTGGTGCGTTAAATCATTAACCATACCATATATGTTGTTTGGTTTGTGGTTTAATGTATATTGACTTCGGGTTGTCTAAGTTTGCTTTCCTTCTTGGTTTAATTTATATAAAATTTAATGGAAGTGAACCTCTTGTTTTCCAAAAACCAATGTTTTTGGCCCTTAAGTTTTCACCAACTTTTCCCCAAGTGAATGTACACGCGTAATTGCATTCCGTGGTCGACACTTTTCACTTACTCAGCTCGAATGGTAATTTCGTGGCCGGTGTTCACCGGCGTTTCCAGTTCGCTCAGCAGCATCGTCTGCAGTCCGCAGGAGAACTGGAACTGCATGAGTCCTTTCTGCAGGAAGAGGGCCATGTAGTGGCCGCCCTTGGTTCCCTGGGCCGCCGCCAGCATGATCAGTCCGTTGGTGGCCCGCGTTCGCACCTTCAGCTGGATGTGCATGGGCAGGACGGCGTCCAAGGACTCGTGGGCCCCGATGTCCTTGTAGATGCGGTGCGACACGTACGAGTCCCCAGAGAACGCTGCGTTCCGGATGACGATTGGCAGCTCGCATAGCGGACCCTGGCGGTCAAAGCGACAAACACACTGAAAAAAATATTCAAAATAAATTAAGTAAGCATTGAAGAAGATAATATTTTATATATCTAATAAGAGTATTAAAGTTTCGACCCGATCTAAATTTGGTTTTAAGTAATCATAAATAAGAAGTAGTGTAAATCAATAGATTTTGTTACAATTATGAAAGGCTATATTTCCGATTTCGTGAGCATTTCTCTTACACTTTCAATGCACATATTTTCGAGTAGCTACAAATTATTTACAGCCCGAACTTTGCTCTAAAACTTATAGGAAAGTCGCACCAAAAAGCGGAACAAAAAGCGGAACAAAACTTGAACAATTTTAATTTAATTTCTGCCCGCCCCTCTTGGAAAGAGCGACGACTTCTGGTCGCCTTTCAATAAGAAGAGCACGTTCGAAAAATGCCAATAAATTGAAAAGTAATATGAATTAACTTTTTGGCTCTCCGCCGCGGCATTCCCTTCGTCTTCCTCTTCGACTTGTTCATTGTCCTGGTTTTAATAATTTATGCCGCACCGAGGGACACTTAAAGTGCAAGGAGAAAACTGCAACAGGCGAACCAGGGAAAACAGGGGTCGGGAAAAAGGGAAAACGGAAAAGACCACGCACAGGCACCGAAAACTTTTCTCCGATTTTTCCCCCTCTCCCCTCAAATTGAGCAAATTAAGTGTAAGAAAATGGAGGGGTAAGGGGAAGCCGTCACGTGGCCAATGCCTTTGGGTTGAGGGTGGTAAAATGACAACCTCTTAATGGGAAGTTATCCATATGTTGGAAGTTGCTTCAGGGAGTTGTCGAGTTGTTGCCCTAAAAAAAATATATGACAAAAGTTATGGAAAACTTCTGTATACAACCTGTTCTTCAGGTTATTCGATAATGTCTTCAAGAGGTAATTACAACCATTGCATTGACGTCTATGAATTATCTATGATCCAACCATTCCTTATCTATAACAAAAACCTTTCTGTTCGAGTTTATGTTAGTATAAATAAATGCTTGATTTAGAAGGCTGACAATAAAAAAGAAAGTTTTTTGATATTTCCTGAATTTAAATATAAAAAAATTTAAAATTTAAAACAATTGCAGATTGTTTTAATTTATGATTTATTATTCTTTAATTGGTAAAGTTTCAATTCATTGTGGTACTTAAATTTTAAAATGTTACATGTTTTTGTGATCTTTATCTAAAGAAAAATGTAACTCTGAAATCGCAACAAATTTATGCTCCCAGCTTTGATTATTTTATAAAGCACAGACTTAATTGTGGCATAAATCTTTCAATCTGGGAAGACATTATTCAAGCTTTTATAACCCAACATGCGAATGAAAACCCTTTCTCAACACACCCGCTGTTCAGCGGAAATACCGAACCAGTGTTAAAGGCTTGAGCGAATAATGGCCCAGACTCTTTTTTACCACCCATTCTTTGCCTTTTCACAACAAATTTCCGCTGTTCTTGTTTTTGTTCCCCACGCTTTGTTTGCCAGCACAAAACATTAAAATCTGCTCCTGCTGGGATTATTTTTTCCCATCATATACTAAGTGCAATTCCGTTCCCAGCTCATATCACTTTTTCGTAGCATACTTTTGAGCTCAATTTTAGCCTATTTTTTCAATCGCTTGTGACCTTGAAAAAATAATGCTAACTTTAGCTGCTGCCTGCGCCTTCATAACAATTATTTGAAGTGTTTGCTGGAAGTTTATTCGCGAACTTTGTTTTCGTTTGCTCAACTTCGCTTTTGTGCCACTCATGTTAGACAAATGAAGCTGCGTTTGCCTTGAAAAAATGACGGGGAAATGTGAATTGTGTGGGTGGGAGGTGGTATTCTGTATCGAGGGCACCAGGCTGCTGAATTTAGTTTTTCGCACAATTTTAGTCGTCTCTGTTTGCCCTCTTTTTTTGCCCCTACTCGCATGTGCCTTGCTAACAGGAAACATTTTAATTAAAGCTTTTGACCTTGCGGCATTTGGCTGGCGCATAATGAATGTTGGCTAAAAACAAAAAACGAAAATGAGCCAAGGGAAAACATCTGGCTGATTTAAGATTTAAATATGTGTGGTCGAGCAGAGTTAAAACGGAAATGAGTTTGTTCTGAAGAGTGAAAATATGAATATTCGCTGGTATTATATTGAATTTTTTTAAAGAAACTTTTGTTGTTTATAAGAAATTATAATTTTGACAATAAAAAAAATATGTATAAAAAATAAATATAACCACAAATTTAATATTTATTATTCTTTCAAAAATGTAAAGAGCTTACAAAACATTTTTTTGGGGTTTAAAAAAAACTTTTTATATTTTAATAATTAATTCAATAATGTAAATAACAATATTACATACATATTAACACATTTTCATTCGTTACATAATATAATTCCATTTTTATTAAATCTAAATCGTTAAGATCTTAAAAGAAATCTTTGTTGCAATATAAAAAAAGCTAAAAAGTCACTAATACTAGTATCCCAACAATAATTTAAAGCACTCTATTTCAACAGCCACACTGGATTATTCTCACAGATTTCCTAAAATCCTTGGCTGGGCAAGCATTTCCACCTCTTTTTCCTATTTGCGTTTCATTGCGTTGGCCAGATGGAAATTAATTGTAACACGCCTTTGGAAATGTCAACAGGCAAATGCTTGGAATGGCCTGAATGACTGAAGTGCACTCTTCAAAAAGGACGATGAATGGGGTGGAGAAAAAGGAAGGGGAAGAGAACGGGGAAAAGCGTCGGGAAATGGGGAAAAGAGGCTGTGGAGGACGCATTAAGTCAGGGAGACATGTGGCGGTGATGGAGGAGCCTAACAGGGCTCAACAAAGTTTTCATTAGTGGCATTGGCGGTGGCAAAAGCAACGCAATGCAGACAGTAGACACACTGAGCCTCAGGAAAATGGGCGAGGGGGTTGGGAAATGGGAGGGGCGGGGTCGGTGCCAGAAGCCAGGCAAACATTTTCCAAAACCAAAAACTCGGCGGGGTAGCACTTGAAATGTGCTTAATGCCACTTTACGAGTGACTTTCGCCGAGTGCGAGTGCCACTTTGCCTGCACTTCTCACTGCCACGCCCCTATTTTCCGCACTTTTCCACCTCTAGCCCCCGCATTTCCCAAACTTGCCTAACCAATATGACAGCTGACATATGTAAGTGTATGTCTGTTTTTTGTCTCTTTATACAAATGGTAAAGGCAAAATGGAAAGAGATGGGAAGTCAACCAACACTGAGGAAAAATATTTGCTTATATATTTTTTAAGATTTTAAAGTATTATTAGTATTTTTTATAGTTATGAAAATAAAAATGAATCAGTTAGGGAAATGACACCAGCATATCCTTGCTAGTTTCAGGAATCAATCTAAAAACAAGTTGAATCTATTACTTATTAAATAGTTATTTATATACATAATAGATAAAAATTTGTTTCAGTGTATTAAAATGGTGAATCTGAAAAGAAACAAAAGCCTGGAGTCTTTGTGAGCTGCTGAAAGTGTATTTTGCAGTTAGTTAAATTACTTGGCAACAATAAAGTGGCATATGCTCTGTGAAATAATTTCCTCTCGCACCTTTTCTCTATTTGCTTTACTTTTCTCGGGCTGCATTTGTGTGTGTGCAGTGTGAGTGTGTGTCACATAATAACAATTTCATCCTGCGGTGTTGTGTCACTCACTCAAGCGCTAAATTTATTATGAAAATTTAATTTTTTCTTGCTAGCATGTTGGCCACATGCGGGGGCTTTGCCTCTCACTTCCTTTCCTTGTTTTCACCGGTTTTCCCCGGATTTTCACGGTTTTGTGTGTGGGTGCTTGTGATTCATAGGTACACTTTAGAGATCTATGTGTGGTGCAGCGAAAGTTTATAAATAAATTGCCAGTTGCCTTTGTTAACTCATTAACTGGGTCTAAAGCATAAATTAGGGTCATTAGTGCTGCCAAACTTATACTGTCTAGAGTGTTTGGCCTAAAATTTTCAAACAATGCTTAAAGAAATACTTAAATCACAAAAAAACTATCAAAGAAACATTTTTAATAACTTGGTCAAAAAAGGTCCTACAGCTAATAGACTTTCAGCTATCGAAATAAGCTAACGATTAAGAAAATAAAATATTTTTTTGGACTCCTCGTGTTAATTCAACTTAAATCTTTAAATATAAGATAATTCTATATAAGTTTTTGTTCGAGTTAAATCATAGAAACAATAAATTACAATATTTTTTACCAAAATCAAATAATAATTAACATCAATTATATTATCCTGATGGTGGTTTAAATTTGACAAGCAGCAACCAGCACGTTAGTCATCCTTTGGTTGAAGCTTATAAATTAACCAAGTATTGACCTCACGTTTCGGTCGTAAAATGCTGGAATTGCATGTGGTGCTACTAATTTGGCTAACGGTGGAGCCCTTGCTGACATATGAATGGACATATATTTAATGGTTGTGGGTTGGTTTTGGTCATCGGAATATTGCAACACGCTCTAACCTTCGAAGGGAAATGAATAATAAATGAGGTAAAGCCTGAGGGTGACAAGTACATGGCCATTGCTGAGAATCGTTAAAGCATGTGAATATTTTTATGACACTCACAAATTCTAACGAATTGCACTGCCTTTCGGAGGGCTAACTAAAAAGCATAAGACTTTTCAGAAATAAATATACTTATAATGTATGCTAGACAAAATTAAAAACAACAATTGTTAGCACTTTAAAACTCGTAAAAATCCTCTAAAAGCAATGTTAATAAACTTATGATATCCGTAGTCATACAGCCATTTCCACCATTATAAATTTCCAAACAAAATTTTAACAACCAAAAAACAGAAACCTATCATGCAATCAATTGTGAACAATTTTCCTGTTATTAGTAGACATTGGAAATTAGGATCGTGCTTCTTAATGGCTTTCAGTTTGCCATCGAAGCACAAAATTCAATATTCCCTCCCTCGCTGGGTTTTATTTTTGAAGCCTTTTACTGCTCTTTTTTTGGGGAAAATTACCCCAAGTATTTTCATAAATAGTTGAATAGGCATACTTTGGCAGGCCTGCCATTGTTCGTTGTTAGTGTAACTAGAGCAACTAAGGAAGGCTTTGTGGTTTTGCCTGGCGAACATTTTCTCCGGCATTTTGCTATTTGTTGTCTGATTTTCTACCTGAAATTTTGCTGTTTTTAATGCTTCTGTTATTTCCAAAGTTCTTAACTATTCATTTACAAAAGCAATTGGCATTTCTGAGAACTTTCGACAGAGTCTACAAAAATGTAAGATAAAATGCGAGCAGATAGATTGGAAGTGGGTCGATTGCAAAAGTTTTCACCGGAAATATTCAAATATCAAAATATTCTTGATTTTGATTAGAGACAATGAAATAAACTAGCTTTAGAAAGAAGGAACCTGGAATTTGTAACCTTATTTTGTTAATTGTTACTTGAATTTATAAATTGTTTCTTAAAAAAGAGATTAATTGTTTTTATTTTAATAACACAGACTTTAAAGGTTCACACGTATACTATTTAGTAAAGTCTCTATTCTGTATGTATTCATTTTATAAATATAGTTTAATACCCATCGACAAAAGCCTTTTGTAATTTCCAGTAATAAATTCTAGCTAAGTAAAACCTTGGAATAAATTCCACCTAACGAGAGAATTTCTATTATTTTACTGTCCGTTGGCCTAGCAACAATCTGCTCGGCAAATCTGCTTACAGGACCTGCTTACGTGATTATTTATGTATGAGTCGAGTTAACATCTGTGAACCTGTATCTGCATCTCTATCTGTACGTGGGCAGCTGTGAGGTCCTTTCAGGTTGTCAATTTGCAAATTTAGTTGGCACCAGTGCATCGCTCGTGGGTGTGGCCGTTGAGTAGGCATTACTAATGCTCTCGTTCGGTGAGTATCCCATTAAAGGGTTTGATTAAAGCCTCTCAGATTCCATGGACAGTAAATTGCGTTAAAGTGGAACTGAATTCGACCCTAGCAACAGAATGGCTGTCATTGTTATAAATTACAAATTATAGAGCAGCCAACGGTTGCTTGGCTATGTTGTCGATTTAACAAGTTGTGTTACACTTATTCAATACTTTTTAAAGCAGGCAATACAACATTTTAAACCTTAAAACGGAACTGTTCTGAGCACTAAAAATATATCCAAATGAAGCTGATCTTTTAGACCGTTCCTCTTTTAAACGGTTTGATTAATATTTAGGGTATGAGTGTAGTCCATTCCCGGTTATCTTCCCAGTTACCTCGTGTATTTACCTATTGCCTAGGCAATTGCAGCTCTAGATAGCATATTAAATGACTTATTAACGGTCAGGAGGTGGAATTGGAAACGGAACCCGGAGGCGCACAACTCCAACACGGCCAATTAGCAACTCAATGGGGCTGAAAATTGTGAAGTTGGCTGCTCACACACAATCGGCTCCCTAGGATGCCTCGTTTTACCTAGTTTTTGGTTGTTTTGCAATCGAACAAACAACTCGATTTCGTTAAGGTGCCAAAGTGCTGGGGCGCCAATCGATTGACCTACTGAGTCTGGCTGCACTTGGCAAAATTACTTTGAAAACATAGGAATGCATTTTTAATTATATGGTGCATATAGAATTCGTAACAAGAGAATGTATTAGATTGATTCTTCGACATTAGTTTTTAATAAATTGCTTGACTTTTCGGGTAGTAAACCCCTAATAATAGAACATATTATTATTATTTTTCCTTTGTAGACTTTTACTTATCACAGATTTTAAAGAAGATTGTTAAGACTTTAAATGTTTAAATATGTTGGAGTGTTCTTAATCAATTGATAACTTACCCGCGATCCTTCGGATGTGGTTACGCAGGTGCCGCCATTGTAGCAGCCCAGTTTGATGCAATCGACATCGCCCGCCTTCTCCTCGGGAACTCCGCCGGATCCCCTTCCGCCGGAGGACACCGTATTGCTGCCCTCCACCTCCTCGCTGCTCTCCGTGACCGTTGCCTTTGTTTGGGCGGCCGTGGGCGGTCCTTCGGGGGTGGTGTAAACATTTATGACCGACGTGGGTGGCGGTAAAGTTTGTGCGGATTGCGTGGACGGGGGAGTGGGTGGAATCGTGGGAGGGGGCAGGGTCACCGGAGGAAGGGGCACAGGGCGTAGAGTGGGTGGTGGAGGTGGTGGCAGAGTAGTCGCCACTGTTGGTGGTTCAGTAGGCGGAGGAGTGGGCTGAGCAGTGGTGGCCGGAGGAACAGGAGCTGCCGTAGGTGGTGGTGCAGGAGTTCCAAGTGGTGCAATCGTTTCAGGAACTATCACTGGAATTACAGTCGTCTCTGGCGGCACAAAAGGTTCCACTGTGGTCACTAAAGCAGGTTCCTGTACTCCAATCAGGTCGTCCGTTTGCAAAGGATGTCCCGTAGATATTTCCACAGGCAATGGAGTGGTGACCTCGTCGTGATGATGATGGTGATGGTGGTGCTCGTCTTCTTCCAGAGGCTGGAGAGTGGTGCCCTCTGGCTCGTGGTGATGATGGTGGTGGTGGTGATGGGTCGTTGGCAGTCCAGTGGTTGTGATCAGGGGTGGTATTGTGGCATTTGCATCCAATATGGTGACCACAATGAGTGGTGTGTGTGGTGTGGGCAATTCCACGGAAGAATCCTCGACCGGTGAGATAGTGGTGACCTGAACAGGTGGCTGCACAGTGGTGAATCTGCCGGCACTCGTTCGATGAGTGGTGATTAGCACTTCCGCGGGATATTCCGTGAAGAAGGGAGCTGCCGTGGTGGGCACCTCCGTCCAAAGGTGGTGCGTTGAGGCAGTCGTTTCAACAACATCCAGTGGTGGCTCTGGGGCAAATGTGGGTCTTGGCACTGGCACCACCCGCGGTGTGGTTGTTTCCGGCAGGGGAGTGGGCGTGGCATAGTCTATGGAGATGCTCGTCTCGATTGTAGTCACTCTCTGCACAAATATTGGAGCCGGTGTGGTGACTATTTCCACTGATTCCGAACTACTGCTGCTGGATGAGGTGATGTCCACTTGTATGGTGATGCTGGGTGCTGCAGTGGGTCGCACTGATGTGACCTCTTCGCTTCCACTTTCACTTTTACTGCTGGCACTCACTTCGAAATGCGGCACAGGGGTGTATTCCTCGGAGGTGACTACTTCACCAGAAGATTCTACCGAGGAAGTGGTTTGGGATTTTCCCGGTAGAGGTGGCAAAGTGGTATAGATGCTGGGGGATTCCTCCGAAGAGCTGGAGGATCTGCTGGTTGGCGGTCGAGCTGTAGTGCCTGGTATTATTTCCTCCTCGGTTTCCGATTCCGATGATGGGGGTGGTTGAGTCTTGGGCTCTGGTTCCGGTTCCGGTTCAGGATCAGGTTGTGCTGGAACCACCGTGGTTTGCTCTACGGATATACTATGGCTATCGCTTTCGGGGGGTGCCAAGGTCGGCGTTTTTATCTCCACGGAAACGGCTTCCTCGGATGAGGAGGAAGATGAAGAGGTAATCCCTTCCACAGGAGCAATGGTGGTAAGCACTATTACCTCTACCTCCTCGGATACCCTTGGCGGTACCGTGGTCTCCGGCGGAGTGACAGGCCTCACTGTGGGCGGCGCCATTGTGGATGTGGTGGTGGTCCTCCTTGGAGGAGCTTGGGTGGCAGGTGCCGTGTAATTGCAGTCCAACGACTCCTCACCCACCATCAAACACTCGCAGAGCATGCCAGTTAACAGGGGCGGACATGAACAGGAGAAGGTGTCCACTCCGTCGATACAGACACCACCGTTCATGCAACGTGGACCCAATTGGCACTCATCGTACTGGAACTCGCACTTTTCGCCATGGTAATCGGGGACACAATAGCACGTGGGCACACCCTCCTCCATCAGACACAAGGCATTATTCTGGCAGGGATTGTCCGCACAGATGAGGATCTCCTCCTCGCAATTGATGCCCGTGTATCCCATGGGACAGGCGCAGGCATAGGCCGCCAGTTTGTCCACGCAGACGCCTCCATTCTGGCAGGGCGACGAGGCACACTCGTTGATCTCGTCCTGGCAAATCCTGCCATGCCAACCCGCCGGACAGTCGCAGGTGAACTCCAGTCCAGGACCCTCGATGCACTCACCGCCATGCTGACAACGGGCACCAGTTCCTGTTTTAAAGTGGGTTTATGAAATTTTAAAAACAAAGTTTAATTGGTTATTAAATCCGCTTCCTATATATTTTCTTTATTTTTTTTTTTGCCTAAACAAATTAATAATTTATAAAAACTTTTCAATTTAAATTTTCAATTAGGACCCGAGAATTCATTCTGACTTTTTCATTCCACAAATGTATTTTTGCCTTAAAAGGATGTGTTTAAAAATGATTGAATTTATTTTTTGAATTATTTATTTATAAAATATATTAAAGTATTTGCGCGTGTGTTAATTTCCCTGGAAATTTAATATTTGATTGGAATGCTTGTGCTGTGTTTCACTAATTTCTATTTAATGCTTTCCCAATTCGCCAAACAAATTTCTACCTTTTGACAACCTCGACCCAATTTCCTCTTCGCTGTGTCCATTCATCACCCTGACGGCGACTCACCTGTCTCGCAGACGGCCACATCCAGTTCGCAGTGAGAGCCGAGATAACCGGGCTGGCAGGTGCATATGTAGCCATTGGTCCTGTCCCGACAAAGTCCGCCGTTCTGGCAGGGATTCGACATGCATTCGTCGACATTCTCCTCGCAATTGGATCCTGCAACGAAGTTAAATGAAAGGCTGTGAATACAAATAGCCTTACTTGTCTGGGGGTCAAAGGGCAACCCCCTGTTAGTTTACATTTTAATTAAAGAAATATGTATATGCACAGGTCAAAGTTCTTTTGCATACCATTTTATGCGAATGAATTTAATTTATTTATGCTATGATATTGTTTTGAGGTTTAATTAGTTTATGCCAGTCGCAATTAGCTTTTGACTTACTTCATCAAACAATAACTGTTATAGCTTTGTGGTTTTAGTTTATGGATTTTAATTGAAATTCGTTCTGTAAATTCTTTAAATAGAACTGTTGGAAATAAAAGGAGGCCATTTTAATTAATAACTGAAGGAGGATCGAAATTCAATTCCATTGGCCCTTCAATAAATTATTCTACAGCCCGTAAATAACCTTTTCTCTCAATGGATTCAGTTTCTCTTTGGTTCTGCGTTTGAAACAAGTGCGCACAATTGAAGTTCAATTGAATGACCTTTCATTATATTTGCCAATGGAAGTTTCTCTTTTTTTCCTCATCGATCCTATTCCTTTCAATTTATTTCTCTACTTTTTATTCCCAAAAAAAGAAGTAAGAAAGTGGAAAGTTTTCGGTACAAGCGCATCAATGGCAATCAAAACAAACCCTACACAAGTGCTGATTTGGTTGCAAGCAATATAAACAATTCAAAAGGAAATTTACACGCACACATTGAGCTTTATCCCTCCCACACTCACTGGATATAAAGCACACATGCCAAAATTTGTAGCTGTCCTTCAAATTCTGTGCATGGAGTGGTAAAGAGAAACGTGTAAAAACTAGTGGGAAAAATAAAACTAAGCAAATACTCTTTTTGAAAGTTGTTATGATTAAGCCGATTTATATTTGTAATTTGTTGTATAACGTTGATACCGTGTTAATATGTCTATTGGTACTCTGTCCATTTCTATAAATAATTTTGAACTAAAAGAAAAATATTATTTTTTTTTTGACTAGGTTTTAACTAGGTGCTTATGCTTTAATATTCGTGTATGTTATACTCGATTCTAGAAAATGTGGTAGAAATGGTTTAAGAATTGTTATACAAAAAAAGAAACATATAACATTATTTCAATGACATAAGCTCAGTCCTAAAGAACTAAGCAAAATGCTCAGTTTTCGAGGCAGAGCAATCTGCACTGCTGGGGGTATCTAGTTTGACAGCCAACAATGGCAACAAATGCTTGGAAATACTTTTCAATTTTCTGCTCAACAACTTGCAGCGACGTTGACTTGGTCTCAGTGTTTTGCCAAAAGGCAGCAACTGTCAGACAGACAGACAATCTTCGCCTCGGGGGAGAGGAGTCGGGGAATTCTCGATTCGTTTTCGGCTCTGCCTGTGCCAGCGCAACGCTGCGTATGAGTGATATTTTTCGGGGTGTGTGTGTGTGAGCTCTCTTTGCAAATTTATTGCTAGCGAAATATTTTGTATGGCTAAAGTTTGAGAATTTATTTGCCCAGCATAGAAACGCCTTTGGAGTTTGGGCCTTTGTTTTCGTTTCACAGCCACCTTCTTGGCAAACTCTTTTTGGCAACAAGTTGGCGAGAAATATGCTTAAAGTTTTTTCCGCCTGCACTCAACGAAAGTTTGCTAGCCTATCTTGTCTGGGCCGAAGAAAAAATTCTCTCTTCCCTAGCAACAAAAAAAGCACTTCAAAGTGTCGAAACAAAAGTGTCAAAAAAGAAGGCGTGGAAATTCCCCTACACTTTGGCCAAATTAATGCGCCAAAGAACAGAGAAAGCGTTCAAGGAATCTTTTTAATTTAAGGCTGAAAATTGCATTCAAGTGGACTGCAATTGAGAGGGCGTTTTTGGATGGTGCAGGAATTTATCACTCTAACTCATAAATTGTACAAAATACACACACTGATGGGGAAAAAAAATCTGAAATAGAATTGCAGCTGAAGAGCCCTCATGAAAGATAAATGTGCGTGTCTGGTCCTCCTGTCTGGGTTATAATGCAACAATAATGTAAGTCTATGCAAATGATGGGGAAACATTGGGCAGTGGGGGAGCTCTGAACATAAATTAAATTTGCATAAGCACTAAATCAACACGAAAAGGGGAACCGAAAGCGAAGAAGGCAACTCAAAATCCTGGCGAGCAGCAAAGGATGTCAGTCGATGTCATTTGTTTACCTTATGACGGGTGGATATATATGTATCTGGTGACTTGTAGTTATACGTGTGTATATCAGTATCTTTTGTGTGCTTTTGTGGATTTCAGCTGAGCTCCAGGAATGTCTGCCTAGCAAATATAGTCGTTCGTATGCACATTTCGATTAAACTATGCGGTCTGTGTCCTTTGGTCTTGAGTTCGAATTTATATTGCATACTTCCAGGCTGCTGGGTCTGTGATTGCATTTGCATTCAAATGTTCATTTTCAACTTAATTTAAATTAATTTATTAATGCTGCACACTTCTGAGCACAAAGCGAAGTGTGTTATTCATTTCAGACAGCTAATTATGCAGTTAATTCTCAAAATACAAGAAAATTCAAGATAAACAAGCTACAGTTATGAATTTTACCTTGAGTTTAATATTCCTTTAATTCCTTTATTCCTTCTTTGCTAGTTTAAAAATTTCATTAAAATTCATCAGATGTATATAATGGTTTTTAACCATTAACAAAAACGTATGTTAAACAGTTTCTATGTTGTAATCAATAAAACACCCAAGTTGTTTTTCTTGTTACGATCAATATTTTTCTACCAAAAAATCGTTTTGCACTTGCAATTATCAAACTCTTTAGTATCGTTTCTTGGATAAATTATTGGTTCGTCCTATGGGTCACATAAAAAACGAATTTTAATTTATCGTTTGCCCGACCCGTTCTTCGATTGAGTAATGGATTTTCCAGCCGGGCTGGCGCTTTCTCGTATTTCACTGCCATGGCGGAGCAACAGCTTCAATTTCCCCGTTCTGACCATAAAGTGCCATCAAGTCGCTGCACATTTCAATTTGTTTATGGCCATCGCAGCGAGGCAATCGCAATTTGCTTTATGATTTTGATGGTGTGGGCGTACTGAGGCCTTAAAATGCTAAAAATATTTCAATTTGCTTTATGGTCGTTGTAAAATTGAATCACTTATTTGAGGAATGCAAATGCTGCTACTTAAAGCTATTTGAAGTTAGTGCAGTGACTTATTGCAACGTTCTTGTGCATGTGCCATTCTTTAAAAAATTACTGAAGAAATAATAGCAACACAATAGAATATGTAATTTAAAAATCTAATAATAAATGCATTTGCGGCTGTTTAAAGCTTCTCTGATATAATCAAAATGGTAAACTTTTCTGCCTCTACTTTTTTCCCCCTTTTTGTGTGCTCTACATGAAATGTCATATTACGCTCCAATTCATGCACAAATACAGGAAGTGGTCAAGCACATAGAAGGCATACAGAATACCGAGTAGGAAATCCCAGACCCCCTCACGCACAGTTCTTAACCCAAATTCGGTAGAGCCCCCGACTTCTCACTTCGTCTGGGTTTACCTTTCCTCAATGCATTCCCGATGATTTCTGGTTTTTCTTGTTCATTGTTTTGGCTCCGTTTGTGGTTCGTTGGGGCCTCTGCAATACTTTTTCTTGGGGCCCTGTGCTATGTGTGAAGTCGTTAAAGTGAAAATCGATTTTCATTTTGTTTCACATGTGCATGGTTATGGGTAAAAGGGGTGGAAAACGGTGCCAGAAAGGGGGCATCGGTCATTTTTGTGGGCACGAAAAATGCTTCACTCACTGCCGCAATCTACAAAGCATGTTTTATGAATGAATTTTTTCGAAATGGACGCACAATTTTTTCCTCTATCTTTTTTTTCTGCTCTGTTAAATGGACGGGCCTTGGTTATCCGGGTTTCCTCGGTTTTCATTGGGGAATTTGAAAATGAAAATAAAAAGAGGCATACAATTCTGACATTCTTCATGTCGATTGTTGGAATATTTGAAGCGAAAAGAATAGGAAAAAACAATTAATCAAATTTTAAATGCCGGTAAAATATTGATAACATTTCAGGCTAAAAAACATTCAGAATTGATAAAGGATGGCTTAAGCAAAGAATTGTATGTCTTAAAGTATATTATTTTTACCGAAATCTTTTTTTATTTTACTAACGGATTAAAATTTCTATATTTATAGTAGTTAAAAATATTTTTATTGCTGATAATTTCATGAATGTTCTATAATTATTTTCCTTTTAATAAGATACTCCGTTTTCATCGATTTTTGTGACCACCATATTTTTAATTTTGTGCTTTTATTAAGTCCATTTTTTTACTTTTGGCTTAACATCTGCCATTTTCCTTTGTTCAAAATTTTTCCTGACATGCTTCTTGTGCCGCCTCTTCATCGTTTTCTTGTTATATTTTTTTTTGTTTTGTTATTATTTGCTGCTGGCAGCGAACTGTAAACATTTGTGCAACAAGGTACGAACATTGGTTTTGGCTTCGAGTCACAATAAACATGGCCATTTTCCGCACACGTCCCTTGAGTCCTTGGGGCAGGTCGTCTTTTTCATTCCCCCACCAGTCGATGCACAAATTGAAATTTGAATTTTATCTGCACACATTTTGTGCTTCTTATTTGCTTGTTACCTTTCCCCGAGCAACATATATATTGTCAGATATGGAGAAATGAGTAAAAAGAGGGTTGTATGTGCATTCGAAATCTGGCATCGTTTCAAAAGGTGCATGAGTTGAAAATATTGCACATTTCGTTTGCACTTTATGCTTCCATATTCAGATACCTTTCTCCAGTTTCCTCTGAAATCTCTGAATGAATGCATAAATGAACAAGTGAGTGCACAGAAAGCAGTCAAACAAAGATCAGGATTCGTTTTAAATCATAATTAAGAGTAACGTAGAATATAAACTTTGGAAGCAGTATTTAGTTTTTCTAGACATAAGGGAAAAGTCAAAAATTGATTTTTCTAACTAGCATTCGTAATTCAAAAAGCATATAGGAACTTTAATGAAATATAAACTAGGATAAAAATGCACCAAATTTGATTTCAACTTTGAAATCGGAGTTCTGCCAGAAAAGTTATGGGCTTAGATGTGCAGTTTTAGGACACTTTTCTGCAATGCCAATTTTCGAAAATTTGGAAAGGGGTGACATAGTGAAAAAGAAGAAAAATCGACCCAAAAATACAAACCAAACTAAAAACACAGAGTTTTAGAGAATTGAATCACAATCATTTTAAAGTATGCCACTTTGAATTCGGATGTCTCCAAGAAAAGTTATGGGCTTGGAAGTGCAGTTTTTGGATTTGGATTTCAAGTCCATATAGCTAATTAATGACACATTGCTCTAAAAATGATCAATTTAATTCCTTTTTCAAAAACATTTCCCCGGCGAAGGAAAGGTAATTTTCACGTGATGAAATCCTTTTGATATATTGGTTTATTGATTTTAAATTCTTTAATTACCCAACACTAAGAACAGTATTTAGCTTGTTAGGATTTAAGACACGTCTCTTCCGCAATTTGTATGCGAAACTAATCCCAGCTAGAGCAATCTATTATCATTCGATTGGGGGGGTGATTGGGGTGTTCGTGGGTTGGCCGGCTGCCTTCAAATCCATTGCCGTAAATCGCTGCCTGCGACCTGCGACAGTGAGCAATGAAATGCACTTTGGGTTCATCTCCTGCCTCCGATTCCAACTGCGATTGCATAGATTGTGGGCCACGCCGCCTGCTGCTTTCAAATGCGAGGGGGAAACTAATCACGGGATCCATTCACTCAGCCAGCCCCCAGTCGAAAACCCGACCAAATTCATGTCACTCGCAATGGTGGAATTCAGCAATTTCAATTCGCATATCTACACACTTAAAAAACTAGCAAGGTTCTTGAAATAGGTATAAATGAAGTACATGTCTTAAAAAAAAACGAAATTCATAGATGAAATTTCTATAAAATTAAGCTTTTGATAATGCGTTTCTATAAGATAACATTTATTTAAAAAATATTTTTTTACAGTGGGGTACATTTTTTTAAAGTGTACTCTTGGATTGAAGTGGTTGCCCTGCACTTGAATGTCTTGTGGTGCGCATTGTTGCTCATTCAATTGCTTAGTTTCCATTTATTTTTCTGAGAGGAATCCTTGACAATGAGAAGCACAGGAAATGAGAAAGCGTAGCTCATTTTCACCGGGAAAAATCCCGCACACTTTTACACCCACAAAACGGTTTAGAAGTCTATGTGTATTAGAGCGTTTTATTAATTGCATTTTGTGTAACATTTCCCCTTGCTACTGGATTTTCCAGAGAATTTTATTGTAATTAGGCAATGATGTAAGCTAACATTTTCTATCGACCGCCTTGGCCACGTTGCGTAAAATTAGAAAGTATTGTGTTTGAAAGTTCAATGAGGAAATTTATGAACGAGAAAATTACATTTTTCTGATTCCACGAGGGAAAATAAGTGGGAAAGGGAGGATTTTTGGAATGTGCCTGGCTTGTTATAAATTAATTAATAAACTTGTAGGACTTTAGTCGTTCGAGAGCAATCAATTTATAAATAAACACAAACTTGTATGAGTTATTTGTGCAAGAGCAATTTCTAAGGCAAATAAAGTTTATTGGTAGGTGTGGTAGCTAAAATAACAAACCCTTTCCACTACAAAAGTAATAAAGATTATTTTGAAAAAGATTTTAAAACAAAAGAAATTGCCAAGGAAAGTTTTGAAGCTGTGAATTCAAGTGGTATCAAAAATCTTCTATTGAAATGAATGAAACATTAACTGAGTGGATTTAATCCTCAATTATTTTAAATAATAGGATTGAGCACACAAATGTATTAAGAGTCCCTAACTGATGTATTCTATCAATTGATATTTAAAGCCAATTAGGCCTTTTTGCCACAAAACTATTTAATCACATCTGTTGTGTGGGCAAATAAAAATCTTAATAGCATTCGATTACACGAGTAATCCCTGGACTCGTGACAAAGTAAACAAAAATATCACCACACATGTGAAAAGTTCATCAAACTCTTGGGCTGACATTATAAAATCAATAAGGCCATGAATATTTTATGCAGCTGTCGCAAAATAAGAACAGAAATGAACATTGAAACTAAGTCCCAAAGGACCATTGATTAGCGACCTCTGCGAAACCAGAAACAATTTAGTTCAAATTCTATTTATAAACATTGAATCGTGTTTTCCGCTGGGTAATTGAAATAAAAAATGTATGATAATCGCTGAGTCGTGTGATTGAAAATTGGGGGAATATTTAAGGAAATAAATCAGGCTACCGGGAATTAAAGCATGTGACTCTGATTAAAGGGTGCAGGGTAATCCAAAAAAACCAAGCCAAATCAAGCCATGAATCAATGAATGAGCCAGCGACTGAGCAACCAGATGCTTGATTGAATGTATCTCCCTGGCTACGTGAAAATGTGTGCAAATTGCCAAAGAGCGCGAAAGTAGAGCGAACAGGTGAACAGGTGCAAATTTATGCACACACACGCATTCGCTCGCTCAAAACCCGCTGATGAAGCAGTCCTAAAAAAGGACGTGGTGCCCAGGAAAATTACGATAAAATATCAAGTGAGTGAGTGGAAAAAACAGAACGAAAACTGTTCAGCGAAAAAAGAGAGTCGCGGCACAGACTGCATTGCTGCAATTTGTATGCATTTCCATAAATATACCCTCATAAGTTGGGTAACCATGGTGAAGGTTATATCCCTTCAAACATAAACTTTGGAAATTTTTATTAGGTATAATTATGTAGTTAAATCATGGTAATGTTGGTTCAACATTTTTAATAACAGGTTAATTTATTCAAATTGCATTATAGTGTTCAATATAACTATTTGATTACTAAGAACTGTACCTTTGCACGAAAATAAAGTGCATAATCGGGATTCTTAAACATTTAATTTAAATATCCTAATAAGTATTTTGGTTTTGAATTTGTTTATAAAAGATAAATTTATTAATAAATGTAATATTTATATACTTCATCTGCACCTTAGTTATGATTTGCAGAGCGTTTGTGCCTTCGCTTTGACCACTTTTGAATGGAATCCTTTATTATTTGTTCATTGTTGATTTGCTGCATTTGCATGAATGTGAAATGCGAAATTTCAATGGTGAATAGGCCCAGGAAGACCTTCTTCCATCCTGCGGAATCCACCCTCCTCCGCCTCTATTGTTTTCGGAATGCAATGGATCCCAGCGCCCTAGCCACCCCCCCACCACACTTCCCTGCACTTTTCCCACTTTGGTGGCTGCAATGATTGCATAAAGGCAGGGAGCCAAGAAGCAAAAGGACAAAGGAATGCCCACGCTTTGTTATTGGATTGTGTGCGTATGCGTGTGCATAGGAGTGTGTGTGTAAGTTAAGAGAGCAAGGTTAAGCTGTTGGTGATTGCAGTTTACAGAGAGGATTGCAGCCTCTTGGAAGATGTATATAAACACTCCATAGTCTTTAGGCAAGGATGACTCCGAAAATCGGTATAGAAGGTCTGAAGTAAACAAGATTTAGGTCAAGATTTTCATCAAATTGTAATATATTATCTAACTGTCTAAAAGGTGATTCCAAAAGTGTGATATGGTTGTCTATTTATGGTGGATTGCATACAACCGTTTCCAACTCTTAATACACTTTTGGTATCTTGTAATACCCTAACATATCCTAACAATAATTTGTTAAATTCTTTGTTAATTCCAGTTACTTCAGTAATTAGCCTGATAAAAACAGGTCAAAGTCTCACCGATGCCAAAGAGATTAAGTGGATCTGAAAGGGAAATCTCAATCAAAGCAACCATTTTAGTCCTATGAACCGCCTTATCCTCAAAGCCATAGAAGTCTGCACAAAGAGTTGGTAAGTGGGACAGACGAAACAACGATATACATTGCACCAAATTCCCTATATACTACTATATCCCACAAACCACTTCAAAAGGGCATAAACATAAACGCTAAAGCCAACCAGCCGAAAAATAAATGGGAAAAAGGCCGCGAAAATATGCGCATTGCAAAGGAAGCTCATAAAATTAATTAGAACGCTGCTGTCCTGCTCTGACATTATCTTGCGGACCCGCTCATTTGCATTTGCTGATTCTTTTAAAGCGGGGTGGTGGGTGGTGAGGTGGGCAAGGTGAAAGCTTTCCAAAACTCAATGAGCGGTTAAATAATGCCCCGAGGCGTCTGCCCATTTTCTCGCTTTTCCGGCCACCTTTTCAGAACTCTTTGCATCCGTTACTTTCGCTTTATTTCCAACATTTCGCGTGCTTTTGGCAAAAAATCTATTTATTATATATGAGCGTGTATATAGAATATAATTTTTTTGCGGCTGCCCTAGCGAAAAGCATATTTTCCTTTCCTTTTTTATGCACTGAATTTGTTATGCAATTTTTTGCGTTATTTACATTTGGGTTTGTCTTTTTTGTTCTGAGCCTGAGAGCAATTTGCGTTGAAAACGCTTAGTTTCCTCTGCAAAATCGGTGGAAAAGAAGGGGTCACGGGATTGCAGTGCATAATTTTATTTGTTTTTGTGTTGATTTCATTTGCAGTGCTTATACTTTGTGGGCCTTTGTTTGTCTGCGTTCGTTGCTCCGCTCTATTTATGTTAAATTAATGCAACTGTTTTGATTGCTGGGGTTGTTCCACGATAGGAGAGTAAACTTGTTAAATGGGTCGTAGGAGTTCTGTTAATGGAGGGAAAGTGGTTATATTGGATTTATAAACGGTTTTTTTAAAAGAATATTTGGCATTGTCATAAAATCTAACAGACTTGTCCCAACAAATTATACCGTCGTATTTACATATTTATATAGAAAATATTAATCTAAAATCGATCTTGGTTTTATAGTCTATGGCTGTTAACCAATTTGTATTATTTTGATTATTTAGATTTTAAATTTGTATTCATTCTTTGACAATTGAATAAATTATGTTGATCATATTTACAATGTTGTAGAAAACTTATTTGAGTAAAAATATTATTTGTTGCTGAAGCTTAGATTATACAGAACATACGTTTGTATCAATCTTTCCCAGACTCTCCTCTGAATGCTTCTAAGTCTCACATTTTACATAAAAAAAAACTTTCAATCAGCCACAATTCTCATCTCCATTATTTCAATTCGGATGCATTCAACCAGCCGGAAAACACATGTAATTTATTCCCAAGACTCTTTGGGCCAAAAGAGTCAGTCATTGACTTTGGTCTGTTGCAAAGTTCCTCTTGCCCCATCCATATCATTTAGCCACCTCCTTTGGTCTGATTGCTCAGCTGGTGTTCCACTCGTTGAACTCATCAGGAAAGTTCCTGAACAAATTTGCTGCAATTTGTATTTCGGTTTTAGTCTGGCTTTGATACGACTACAAATACGAATAAAGTACGTATTACACCTATATACGCTGGCTATAAATTTCACTAAATTTTATAAAGTCAACTTTGTGCAGCGAAGGGGGTGGCAGAAAAAGAAAAGAAAATATATGAACGGACACTAAGTGCTTCTCACACGTACCATAAGTAAATGTGTTTATGTGTGAACGTAGTACGTACACGAGGCCAAAAGGATGAACATTAGATACATTCATGGTTAGACTTCCGTGCTCGACCAACACAGATACTCGGGGAGACCGAGCCGCACACACGTGGCAAGTAGCACGTTAAGCACCCAACATTGACTACCACAATAGACAACATTAAAGTTGGTTCGCCAGCTTGGCTTTGCCATTTTCCCTTTTCCCTTTTCGATTTCACAATTCCACTTTTTTCGATTTCCCTCACTTGCCCCTCCTCATTGGCTTCCTTTTAACGCCTTTGGAGATCTCTCAAAGCGTTTTCCTCGCACAGCCTTGATCATCTCACTTTATCAAATGCCCTTACGAATCCGGGTATTTGAGGTTGGATTTTGTATTATAAGTATGAAATTCATTTTATATTTTCCTCTTTAGCAACTAAGTCCCCTTTTTAACAATTATAATTTATATGAATTCCTTTTTTTTAAGAGCTAAAAACCAAACACCATGGAAAAACCTTTCTTCCTCCCAAATCAACACCATTTTAAGGGTATAAAGAGCTTCTGCACTTCAATGACTCTCTATTTTCGTTTGCTTTTCTTTATATTATATTTGGATTTTCTTTTTCCGCCTTTTTCCCACTTCGCTCTCTCTCAGGACGCGTTAGAAAGAAGAATAGACACATGTGAGCAAGTGCCGGGGAAATAAGTAAGAACGAGCATTGTACGTTATATTTTTATTTCGCCCTTTCTCGTGCCGCGTAAATTTAACAAATACGTTTGGGGGCGAACGGGAATCCTGTGTGAATCCTGTGTGCGCGTCCTGCCAGGAATTCCTCTCTATTTGCGGTGCTCGCGTTTTTGGGCCGGGGGATCTGTCTCAGGCTCTCGACCAAGTGCAAACCAAGCGAGACTGAGTTTTTTATGTTGGCTTAATAAAAATACATTTCGCACGTGGAACGGAAGCAGAACTTCACCTACTCAACTGGCTTGCCACTCTACTTTAGTCCAAAACCCTTTTCCCCCGCATTTCTATTTGTCAAAGTGCACTAAGAGAAAAATATATAAAACTTATTTACACAGTACTAGGATGTTTATTTTTAAATTCATCTACGGCAAATTAGAATTGTATCCCGCAGACTGTATTTATTAAAATACTCATCAAGAAATGATTCCTCAAATGTTGGCCAGAATATAGGGACTTTAAGTAAATTCTATAAAGGTGTTATTTTTAAAGGAAATTATTATTTAGATATTATTTATTGGGAAATATTTTTCTCCATTACAAATTTATTTTCCGTGCATGCGCAACGCTTAGTTTCGTGCATTTCAACTGGATGCTGATGGCCCCAAAAATAAACCGCATTCATGCAACACCGAGGCACATCAGACCCGCCCACACCCGCGGATAGATAGCACACATAGGGGGCACACTTACCAGAAAATCCTTCCGGACACGTACAATTGTAGTAGGCCACACCGTCCACACATGTCCCGCCGTTCTGACAGGGACTCGACCAGCATTCGTCCCAATTCGTTTGGCACTGGATCCCTGTGTAGCCATCAATGCAGTAACACGAGTACGAGCTGTTGTTTCCGTCGAGTTTCGGGTGGTGGGTGGATCGGTGGAGCGGTGGAACGGTGTGTCAATGATGCATCAAACGTTGGTTAAAAAACAGCACGATACCGAGAAAGGAAAATGGGGAAAAACAACAGTTAGAGAAACATCGAACCAAATGCTTTGGATAAAATAGTTTCGCCAAACGTAACAAAATGGGGGGAGTTACGGGGAGGGTAGATAACGCCGGACTATAATGGCAGTTGGCGGTAATTGAAGTGGGGGTACCGATGAAGGTGGGCGTGTTCGGATAAATACAGTGTGTACTCTGATATAAATATTCGACCCATGTGATTTGAGGTAACCTTTAAGCCATTAGAAAATTAGTTTTTATTTTGAATTTTTTTTTTATTTTAACCATTAAGCAGAAAAGAATGAAAAATATAAATAATTTTTGTTTGCACTGTTCTATATTATTTTAAACACCATTACTATAAGGACAGTTTTTTACCTTATTGTAATGGTGTTCAAAAGTTTTTAAGTGTCCCCAAATAATGTTTACACCTTTGTATTAAATATTTTTTTTAAATTTCACTTATATTAAAATCCAGCTGAGTTGGTTGTACTCACTTCCACTCTGGCATGCTCTTTTATGTTTCTGCATTTACCTGAATAAATTGCCCTGACTTTCCAAGCTCAGATCTCCTGCATCCAGGCATAATGTACATACCCTACAGCCAAACCGCCGGCCAGTTGAGTGCTATAAACTTTCGGCCAGCGCAACATAACACTTGAGGAGTTGTGGAAATAAATATTTGGTAGACATTTGGGATTGGGTTTTTCCATTCTGTTTCTATTTCGTGAAACCGAATTGAAATTGAAACGGAAATGCAAGAGAAGGAGAAAAAAGTGTCAGGGGAACTGTGGCCGAGGAGTGTTACCTGAGGAACAGGGCAAACATGGCTGCAGAAACTGCTGCCTGGTAACCGGCTTAATTAAAGAAGTTTCTTTATTCGTGTAAATGGAATGGGGGATAAGTGACGTTGGCTTACTGTTGTCCTTTATAATGGATTACATTAGGATGCAGGAGGCAGCCGACGGCTCCCGGTGCACATGTCTGTTATGGGCTAAGCACGGGGATAAGCACCTAAACACACTCGTCCGTTGTTCTCGGCTCTTGTTTTCAGTTTACCCAACTGAAGCCCCCGAGATTCTGGCTGATTATGGCCTTCGGTTGGACGTTTTCACCCAGGAGACCATTTGATTTGTTGCCTTCAGCCAGGAGCAATTGGGAAATGACTACATAATGGCATTGGACTGCTTCTTTGTAGGCGGAATATCAGAATAGGAAACCATCAAGATATTGGAGAAAGTAGGAGTAGTAGGCGAATTCTTGCACTTTACGAAACATTTACCAAATTAGTTTTCTGTTTATAAATATACTTCTTTGGTAAGCAATCATTAAATATAATTGGTTTATTTATATACCTTTTTTGTGTTATGATAATTTGAACGTTGAAAAAAACCATTTATCAGAGTTTTATTTAATTTACTTTACCAGGCATATACAAAAGTGCTAGAAATAATATTTAAATTCTTTAAAATGCCATCAATTCTTTATGATAGTCTCTTGTTAAGTATCCATTATCAAACCTTTATTGAGAACCACTTAATAGCTTTGAAAGTTCATTCTGCACATCTTTTATAGTCAACTTTTATTGGATTTTTTAGAGCAGACTCATAAAACAGTTAAGAGCGCGCTTATCGGACTTATAAACCAGGATAAGCCAATAAAATATCAATGTTCTTCGAAGCCAGTAAACTCCTCAGCGTTATTTCCCCTTCACCCGTTCGCCGGAAAGTCTAAGATGGTCGAAAACTATTCAGTTAATCCGTTTAAATCTCATGGCATCGTGTTAAATTTAATTGCAGCTATAAATTTCGCTTGCCAACACATAAACTTTCCCATCCATCCGACTTGGCCAGTCCAGAGTTTTTCCTTTTTGGCCGGGGAAATGCAGGCGGGGAAAGAGTTCAAGCTTCTGGTTTTCGCATTTCGCATTTGACTTGCAGCTTTCGCATGGAGCTATCGTAAAAAAATATCTTAACCGCTTTTCCCGTCAGTGGTTGGGTGGTGCCAGATGGTTTTGGGTGGGATTAGCGGTTGCATATATCGCGAAGTGAGCATAGAAAAATAAAATGGCAGTTACTTAGTCGTATAAATGGCGCCAAGGAGAAGCATTCCCTCTCGTCTTCTGACTTGTTTGTGCAATTGGATTTGAGCTATATGTAGTATATACGAATGTCTGGAAAGAAATCGCATGGTGGAATCTCTGACAGCTAAGCCTCAAACTTTACCCCACTGAATATCTGAAAGTGCAGCAATTTGGAGAGCTTCTCTGATTTGAATTTTAGATGATATGAACATTCACTTTATATTTGCAATAGATTTGAATAGGTTTCCCATAAGTTGGAAAAATGATGAAAACAGATTAAGCTAAAAATTAAATTTGATGTTTCAAAATGAGATGTATTATTTGTCTAGAATTATTGAACCAAATTATCTCATCTTATATTATATATTGTTAGTCAAATAACCTTTTTTTCTAAACCTGGATCTTTTATAAAACTTGTAATATTTTGCATAACCTGGCTGTAAATGTTCTCCATTAAGAATGCACTTTGGTTGGTCGTCCAAGTTAATAATTTCCCAGCTGCTTGCAATTGAAACCCACTCAACCCCTTTGCCCTCCGCCTGGTTTTTCCCCCTCCCCCTCCACCTCACTTGCAGTGGCCGCAACTTAACCCCATTTAAACGGGCATGCATTAAAAAAGTGTGAAGAATGCGAGGCTGGTGGGATTTCCCCCCTGGAACAGGAGCAGAAAATAATACCGAAGGGGGAGGGACAGCTGCGGCAAATTCATTTCCCTGCTAAGTGGCGGCATCAACATCGGGGCTGCCCCATATCTACATGGTGTGGGATCGTATGGAATGGCATATCAGGGTATGGCAACTGAAACTGAAGCTGGTGGCTCTCATGATGCTCAAGTGGCGCAAGTTTATTGCCACTCGAAATGTGTTGGACGGGTTTATTGGTCGCTGCCTGGCCGATAATAAGAACAGCAAAAAAATGGGCAGAGAGGTGGTTCAAACACTGAGAAAGGTTTTAAAGGGTTAAAAGTATAATTTTGCTTTGATTTTATTTGGATTGGTTCTACTTTTGTGTTTTTTTTTAATTTTAAAAGAATTAAAAAAATATCTTTCAAACGAAAGGTCATTACGATAGGGGAAGTTCCCATCTCTAATCGTTTCTAAGAGGTTTTTCACCTGAACTCACCTGTTCAGTCCATCGATGCAGACGCCGAACACACAGGGATTGCTGAGGCAGGCGAATCCCGCCTGGCTGCTGCCCACGAGGATGCCCAGGATCAGGATGGGTAGCAGCAGGCCCTTGGCCAGTATCCTTAATGCCCGGCAAGGGTTTCGAACGGCTGTTGCTGCCGATTTGGTAGCGTTATTGGTAATGATGGTGTTGGTGGTGGTGGCTGTTATCGTTGGTTTCTCTATTGTTGCTGTTGGCATCTTTAGCAGGTGGTTTCGTTGCATGTCTTTCGGGGTAACAGTCAGTCCGGTCGTGGTGGCCCCATTGGCTGTCAGCGGTGTGGTTGCCCCGGAAACTGTGATGGCCTCGGTGTCATCCTTACAGCCGTCGGGTGGCGAAGATGTGGCACAACGACGACCCATGTCGCGTCTAATTTGAGCCAAAATCGCCATTGTCAGCGTATCAAACTGATGCACGTTGATCATACGCCCCGTAGTACGGGAAATCTTATTTTGATTGATGCTGTTGCTTTTGCTGCTGCTGCTGCTGCTCCTGCTGGAGACTCACTTCCACTTGGGTGTCCTTGATGCTGCTGGTCGTCTATCCGCTTAAGTGCTTTATTAGTTCTCATTGTTTGCCCCACTGATTGTTTGCTGGCCCAGCGGTCCTTGAATGCAATCTGCGTCGCCTTCGCATCGCATCAGCATCCTTGCAGCTCACAGTCCTTCGCAAATGCCCGGCATTCTTGTTTATGATTTGTCCGTTTCTATCTGCTGTTTTCTATTTTCTCTTTGCTGCTTATTTTCAGAGCTCTTCGCTGGTATTGTTGCTCTTCTGGTCGTTCACATTGTTGCTGCCATTTCAATTCGCAATCTGTAAAAAGTGCAGAGCGCATAAAAAATCCATGAGTTTTCTGGGATAATATTTGCGGCAACAATTGTTTTAAGAGGGGTGAAAAGCTTTGGTTTTGACGCTGCAAAGTGGCAATTAAATAGTTGGGAAAGATTTGTGCACCCACAATTGGTTAACAATTGCCATTATTATTTGGTTTTTTTCCCTTTATTTGTATATAAAATTAAGGCTTGCTTTAAGCTCCTGTAGTAATTCCAGTAATATTGATAAACAATAACCACAGCCACCTTTCATATACTATATTTTAATTTTGTAGATTAAGGGATTTACTAAGTATTTAAACAGATTTAAATTTAGGCCATTCGGTTGCCATTTTTTTTGTAAAACAAATTTATATTAAAGAAGGCCTAAATAGTGAAATGATTTTATTCTGAGCCGATTGACAGTTATCCAATTTCTCAAAGCCTAAACTAAGTCCCCAAATAGCACATCACTTTGTGTGACAGACGAAAACAGTTTTACACATCTAATCCATAATGCCGCCATGTGGCTTTCGTTTCATTTCGCTTCCGATGATGGCCAGTTGTGCACTACATTTTCCCATTTCACATGTGTCAAAATAAACCCGAAAACTTGTTCGCATATCACACATATGTTGCATGGATTTGGGTTAGTTTTGGTGCTTTGGGTACTTAGATGTTTAGCATTGGGAAAAGAGGATAAAGATTGGCGAGTGTGTGTACAGTGAAAAAAATATTTAAAAGAAAGCTATGCAACACTTACTTAACCATACCGTAACCGTAAAGATATTTTTTAACTGAGTTTCAGTTAATTAAAATTGTCAACAATGCTGGTTTTTATTCCTGTTTGAATACTTTTTTTTTGTCACTTGTTTGTTAGCTGCTAGAAAGTTAGCCACACTTCTTTTTTGCCTTCATTTTTGTAGGGAATAGCTAAAAAAAACTAGGAAGAGAGCTCTTGCGACATGTTTAAAATTGAAACCAAACAACGTCAATTGCAGCAAAGCAACTGACGTTTGCCATGGCAACTAAAAACTGACCGGGACACTTGGACACATCACAAGGGATGCGGATCAGCAGCAGAACTTGCAGCCGGGCGCCTCATAACTCGACTACATCATCAACATAAATTCGACTTAACTTGGCCAACGACCAAGCAACTGAAACTGTCTTTTATTATTGCCCTGGGGAAAAGGGAGTTTTCTGACCATATTGTTTGAGCGGAAGACTATCTATGTCCAACGTCAGTCATAATGTTGGGATTATAACCAGCTAATTCAGGGGAGAGGTGCAGTTTCTGTAGCTATCTTTGGCTGGAAATTGGACTCGTTGCACAAATTGAAAGATGAAAAGTTTACGTTGACTGGTTCGCATAAACTTATCACATATCTTTACGGTAGTGGTACACACGCAATGTACATTAAAAAAAATTTAATAGGATTAGATTAACTGGTGAACTTAAAATACACAGTTAAATGGATGATAGTACACACGCAATGAACATTAAAAAAATAGATTAAATGATACGTTTTAGTATGTTATATGTAAAATTCTTAGATAGCAGATATTATGCAAATAGTAGCTACTATATATTTTATTTATAAACTCATAGGTTTACAAAACTTTTCATTTTAAGTTCAAATATTTTTTTGAGTTCACTTTTCTGTCAGGTTGACGCCAGGCAATAGATCCTGATGACGCTGATGGGGCTCCTGTTGCCATTGTTGCAGCCATTTCCCCATCACCAGTCCGCATAGTCAGGTGGGCCAACAAAAGCACCACTACCCAGATAGAAAACAACGAGGGGGTTCTAAAGGTGGTACTAGGATATCATCACATAGCTGATGACGGCAGGCGACGTGCGGCGTCGTATGAATTTAGCTTGTAAACACAGGCAGCATGAAATGCGCACGAATGACTGAAACTGGCCGGGAGCCAAGTGAACCAGGAGGTTCTGAAGAGGCAATCTCGAATTGCCGGAGAAGCAGCCTTAAGTTGGTCAAGTTACACAGAGACATTGCCGAGTAAAGGGCCGTCTCCCAAAACATTACTTCCCGCAGCTCTTTCCTTTCCATTCAAAAATGGACAGACAAAATGTTGCCCGTTGGAAGTTGACAAATCAGTTGGGAATTTAAGCGAAATGTAATCGTATAGAAAAACAAGAAAAGAAGAAATCTTCGGTACGGCTTGGTCGCTCTTACCCAAATTAATTTTTTTATATTTTTATTTTGATGCTTAAAAACCATAATATAATAATATAGAATTTCTTGTGACTTTAGAACTCCTGTTAGCATTTGGTAATGCATATACAAATTACAAACTACTAAATTAGAAAATTTAAAAACGTGGTTTTAGTCTAATTAGCAAAAAAATGAAGTACTCCCAACACAATCTCGCATTTGCCATAATAAAATATAATTTTTTGTGCAATCGTTAAGCAGCAAATGTCTTCAAATCGCTGGCACCTGCATACTTGGACCATTTTCCGCTGCAAAAATGTTAACTAGCAAAGGGAGGGCCATAAAACCGAAACGTTTTCATTCGGTAAATTCACGTCGTCCACCTGAATGAAAGCCAGGCCAAAACTCAGATCCACAGCCTAGACGATTCTGCTTTTATTGTTGCCACTGCTGTTTCTGCCGTTTCTGTTGGCTTTTTATGGCATTTGCAGCAACTGCAACTTTGTGAAAATCCCAGGAGCTGGAAATCGGGGGAATGGTGCTTGGGGATTCGCCATTAACGTGAGCCATTTGCCAACTGTGTGTGTTGACATAATGTTGCAGGTTTGCAGGACGAGATGGAAGACGTTGTCGCCTGTCCTTCAAGAGTTTAATGACATTAATGAATGGGCCTTGTTAGGCATTGTGTAATCTGGTGGGGTAATTATAAGCAGGTTTTGTGATACTTCGTTAGTCGGTGATGAGGAACAGGGTGACAGGATATTCGGGGAAGAAAGTTCGTAAGATAAATGACCAAATACAGATAGTGATGAATTGTTGTTTGGATTGCAAAGAGGATTGGTCTAAGAATAACTGAGCTACTCAAGGGGTAAAGTAATTTTGGTTGCAATTGATTTTGTGATGATAATTTCCCATTTTGTAAATGTAAAAAACATTTACATAATTATTTTATAACGATTCTATTTATAACTAGTTAACCTTTCAGTCTAACAAGTTCAAGATTATAACTTAAGAAAATAAAAGCATTTTCTTCTTTTAGATTTTTTTTTAAGTTATTAGTATTAATCATTCCTGGTTAACCTCCTCTTTATTTCCTTACTTCTGTAGAAAACAATGTCAAAACATTTCTTAGAGTCCTTCTCTTGTTTATTCGCTTTAGACCAGAGAAATTTGCTCGCATAAATTTAATTAAATTGTGCACATTTTTTCGGCTTGCTGTTCAATTTATGCAAAGCGCTTTCGAGTAAACAAGTGCTGGCGTAAAAAAGTTGAAATATGCTGAGACAACACAAGTGCTCCCCCCTCACTCATATTGTTAATTAATTCTGACAAATATTGTGCAAATATTTAAAAAAACTCTGTACCCCGAAAAGAGGAGCGCTGCAGGGAGGGATTTTATAATAAGGCAGGCAATATGCCAAGCCATTGAGCCAGGATCTTCTTGTAAATTTGGCTGTTTGTGTTCGGTTGTGTGTCCTGTAATGTAGAGCGTGTGAAAATCGATGGCCAAAAATAAACCGAACAATGAACGCACACGAATGCAGAGTTACACACATGTTAAAATAATTAACTTGTCTTTGACAAGACATATGAGTAAACACATTCCACTCTCGCTCTCTCTGTTAATAAAACACGCCATGTTTGCAGTGCACAAATACAATTACCTTTAAGTACCCCCTGTACCCCATCATCCACCTTGCCCCTTTTCATCCCCATTCGGCAAACACGTGCTCGTCCAGCTACCAGTTCCGTTTGCCTAATACGATTACATGGTGTTTTCCATCTACCAGTCCATCCACCCACCCAAAATCCCCTGCCCCAAAAATCATAGACTACCCAAAAGCAGCTGGCCAATTGATTTTGCCACTCAAAGAATAAAAATGTTACCATTGCTATCATATTACTGAGTTTATTTTAGAAAAGTTGTTTTAATAATTAAATCGATGAAAAATTACTTTAAAATGTATTTCAAAAATTCTGAACTGTAAAAATTTACCTTCACGCAATAAAGAAATGTTAATAAACACTTCGAAAGACCATTTGTAAGTTACATTGTAATGTTAAAAAAATAATTTAGAATTTAAATTATAAACATAAACAAGTAAGTAAACGAGTTATATTAGATTTTTGTAAGTGTACAAACGTGGCGCTCCTTACGAGGGGTACGTCAAAAAAGGACATGTGAAAAGGAGGGAGGCGGAACTGGAATGCTTGGTATGTTGGTTAGAGGGCGTGGTCAGTCGGTCAGGCTCTTGTTATTGTTGTTACGTGTTGTAATAATTAATAGACTTAAATCAATTTGTGACTTTGAAGTATTCGTGAGCATTTCTCGGTCACAGTTGCTGCCGATGATGTTCGGAAATGAATTTCATAACTCATACGCAGTGTTGGCCAAATGGGGGTTGAAATTGCTTTGCAGAAAAAAGTGTTTAACTATGTCGTAATAGGAAATTGCCAATGGGAATATAATAGGTTGAGTCGTAAGAGAAACCCTTTTGGATTATATTTCAACGACTTGAAGTGCTTAAGATTTATATTCAAATAGGAAGGATAAATCCACAATCCAAGCTTCGCTTAAACTTCCAATTGAATTCACCCATTTTGCATTCAGTTTCTTTTTATGCTAGAAGGTGCATTAGCTTTATGCTGCTATCTTGTGCCTTCCTTCTTTTCCTTTGCAAGTCGGATAACATGCGACATCCGCTGGCTAGGAAGTTCAAAGCCGCCTAGATATATGACTGCCATATCCTGGGCTGCATCTGCGTCAGCTGGAAGATTAAGTGTCAGCACGCGCTCCACTCTCGCACACAAAGGACTAGCA